GTGCTGTCTGTGGTAGTTAYTCCACATTCATGAGTCAGTTCATCTGCACTGCAAAAAGGGAATCACAAAACCACCAGACTACTTGTGGTTAACATTTTGCTCTTCTTCTCTCCRTAAAGTGTACCTTACTGACAGGCAGAAAATTACTTTGTCATCAGAGGTCCTATAATGTAGGGCCAGGTACTTAGAGGAAATAGTGTGGAATACTTTTCATGGCTGAGGATAAGTGGGATGTTTTTGCTAGTTTGATTGTAATCATTGAATTTATCAGAAAAAAAAAATTACAGATAGTATTTTTGACTGGTGACAGAATGAGCTGGTTTTAAGAAAGAAATCAGAGCTKCTGGTGAGGAATTCCAGCAACTTGGCACAATCAAACTGCAACTCACCTGAGGAAGGGAAAATCTGACAAATAAAAGCATGATGTTACAATTTCCCTACATACCAGCATTCTCTGCATTGGATCACCTAAAAGTTGTAGTAGAGCTTCTTTAGCCTCCTGTRTCATTGCACAGGAGTGTTATATAACTGCAGTTGTAAAAAAAAGTTATCCACTTGGCTGTGTGTGGGAGGGAAAGAGGTACACAACACACTGAGTTAAACTCGCAGAACRGGCCAAAGGCAGCTAGTTGGACACATTCTTTGAAAGTAACTTTGCTTCACATATCCTGCCCACAGCAGGTTTACTAGACTGAAAACAGGACCTTGGGTCACATTTTTTTTACTTTTGTTTCTGTGATCTTTTGGCTTCCTGGACTTCCTTTTTGATGATTTTTCCTTGGAAGGTAAGACCAGTATCAATAGAAATAGGGTCAATACTGGACTGATAATCAAAAATCCATGATGATCCCAGATTTAACATATCATACCATCTGTCAATGGCAGATAAACATTCAGATCATACATGTGACTTTCATGCTGTTTGTTTTTATTTTACTGTAGACGATAATCCAAGGCCTGACACTGCTTAATGTAAATTTTACCAGCCAGCTCTGAGCCCTTTCCAGGCATGGTAGCACTTAATTGTTGGAAGAAATGAATGCATTTCATTATCTTACTTCTCTCTAGGTTATGGTGACATTCATCACACAGTGCTGCTGACTACAGAAGTTGGATGTGCTTTATAACAGCCCCTCTCCCCCACTTAATCTGCTTGAAGCCAGCAAAGAACATATCTTTATGGTGTTTTCAAATTACCTGTCAGTTGGAAATTAAGCTTAATCAGCAAATCTGAAGTCRCAGCAAACACTCCAGCATTTACGCTGGCAACAGGCCCAGTTATTAATCAAGGTTAGTAGTTCTTGCACAGGCCTGTAGATAGCTCTGAGGCAGAATAAAGCAAAGCCTCTTTAGGCACTTGAGCAGCTCAGAGGAAGCAATCCAGACCAGTACAGAGCATATTCTTGTGTCCTGAAAGAGAAGTCAGTCTTTGGGCTATGTTTGTACATTATCAGTGGGATCCTGGCCAAAATCAGGAGTTTTCAGCAGCCACTGCAGCAACAGTCAGGTGCAGAAACGCAACGCTGGCACCAGAAAGACAGGAAAAGTAAAGCAAACATAAGAGAGTCAGAGACACATGAGTTCCCCATAATCCACAACAGACAGAAAGATGGATAAAACACAAGTCCTAAGTGTATATATGTCGAGATATTCATAGAGGTGTTCTTTGTACAAAAGCTTTCCAAAGTTCAAACCTTGGCTGATTCTCAGGACTCAGCTCCCAGACAACTGCAAAAACAGTATCCAAGCTACTTGCCCAGGCTGATGTGATAATTYGGCACAATCCTCCATCATTTCAGACTAAGCTAAACTGATTTATCCCACATTTGCCAGGGAGTAAGGGTGTATGCAAAGACTGTTTTCCATGCTCAGCTGCTACTGGGAAATTCCTAATTTGACTGAATCTGAGCCCTCAGACCCAGAGCTGACCAGGGTCTATTTTTGCAAACAAATATTGTGGAGTGGTCTGCAGAAAGCTGGACACTTTTATACCTCCTACCTCCAAATATTTACTATCTGTGTAGTACAGCATAGATAGATGGGCTACTCCTAAATCAGCCCAGCAGTTCAGACCACTCACTGGGAGAGCCAGAACAGATCTCCTTCCTACAAAGAGCCCACACATTCCATTCTATGTGCAATGTGTAACCTAAAGAATGGACAAAAGGATTCATCACATAAGAAACTGAGGTGAAAAAAAATTTGAATTAAATAGGTAGGCCCAAACAATTGCTTTATCCCTTGTATTCCCACAAGCCTGATGTGCAACAGGAGTTTTGTGCAAACATTTCAATCTTCCTTAGACAGAAGCCATTTTTTCTTTCATGTAAATAAAAGAGACTGTCTCATATTTTTTTATTTTTCACAAGGCCTCTTTGGTTATTTCTCTCCATATCTACARGGACTCTCATTTTTCTTTGGCTTTTAAAAAGCAAAGTGCTTCATTCCAATTGGAATCAGATAYATTACTTCTGCTACCAGGCAACCCACCTCCATTTTACAACTGCAAGCAAGGACTGTTTTTGCATTTGGATTCCTTTCAAAGAACTGTAAGATACATACATCTTACCGGCACCGAAGCACACACAGAAATGCTAAATTGCTCCTCCAAAACTTGGGTATTTGTGGTTTAAATAAGATCTGTTCCCAAAAATTAATTCTGGGTACTAAAATCAGACCTGATTACTGAGGGAACAAACAGCTATCAGGAGTGTAAAAAAATAGCAAATGTTTYCTTAAACTCCTCTAACAAGTACAATTTAATTTTCTTTGCTGCACATGCAGTAAGGTCTCGCTGTCTTCCAGAATTTAGTTCAGAGCTCAAAGAACAAGCCATGATGAACTGCTGGTAATTCTTTTCCTCAGTCTCACAGAGGGTACCTTTATTTCCCCTCTAACTCCCGCACACTCCTGTCTAATATCCAGTCATAGATGCAGTGATGGGAGATGACAGTAATTCCAAGATTGCACTCCTTCACACAGAGAATATCTCTCTGTACCTACAAGGGGACAGACTCTGGTCATTAGTAGYATAAGCAGAAAGCACAWGGATTATGGGCTCAGCATGCATAAMTCTGCTATCAGACCTGTTCTTTGCCATGTAGGTGGTCCCAAAKTATTGCTGGCTTTATTTCTCAGGAGATTTGTAAGCTGCACCCTGTCTAAATGCTGAACCTGTAAAAGATCTGCTCCCTGCCAGTGTCCACTGTCCATCATCTGACAGGCACCTTCCTACTCTCCCTCGTGCTGGGGAATCCCTGGCAGTGGCACTTGGAGGGCAGCTGGGGAGACCAGCCGGTGGAAAGGCACAATTTCATTAAACAGCAGACAGTTCACAACTCCTAGGAGATGGCAATGCAGCATTTTCAAATCAAAAGAGCTTMTTTTCGAGCCATGGCTTTATCTAATGGAAGACTGGTATTTTTCACATCAGAAACTGACATTTTAGCTACAATGGCATTTTTCACATTGTAAATGAAGGAACCAAAACATCAGCAGGCAGTTGAGGTACTTCCAGGTGAAAGGAGAAGGGAATGTCTTTACAAACAAACTCTGACTCTGGGGTGAGATAAGGCTGATACTGGGAGATAAAAAAGAAACAATAGGAAGGATTTCCATAGGAATTCCACTGATTGACTTATCTCAGACTATGATAATAAACTACCAGAGCAGAGACACAGAGATGTATATTGAAGGGGGGGCAATGTATGATAGAAGAGGGGTTTCACCAGGCATTTGGGGGTGTCTGTAACTCTCAAGTACCTCAGCCAGTGGGGAAAGAGAGAGGGAACTGCGTCMGGGAAATTAGGATAAAAGAGGCTRCGTCCTCTATGAATTTGAGAGACCCCATGGGAAATGCCCATGACCTCTCCCTTTATTCATGAATAAAGTTGCAGGACTCCTCTGTCTCCTTTTTGGACATAAACCTCTGGTGCTTGTGGATTAATTTTCCTAACACAGGCCTGCATCTTGCTAAGCACAGTCACAAAGCACTGTGCAGGGTGAACGACCCCAGCTAACCCCATCCCTGGAATCTGGCATTTAAAGGCTTCCAGGGCCACATACCATATCCAGCCAAGTCATTTGACAGCCATTAATGGACTATATCCCCACAGCATGGCAAACTCCTCCATAATTGATTTGATCCTGTGGCAAAAATCACTAAAATGCCATGTGCAATAACGTTCCCTTTTGTTCACTTCACACCGCCTCTTGATCCTGTGTTTTAGGCCTCCTGCCAGGAGGAGCCATTCCTCCCGCTTTTAGTGGGCACTGGTTAGGCCACGCCTCGAGTTCTGCGCTCAGTTCTGGGTCCCTCAATTCAGGAAGGACATTGAGGGACCCAGAGGGGTCCAGAGAAAAGCAATGGAGCTGGGGAAGGGTTTGGAGCGTGAATCCTGTGATGAGCAGCTGAGGGAGGTGGAATGTTTATCCTGGAGGAGTCTCAAGACCTTACCACTCTCTACAACTCCCTGACAAGAGGGTGTATCCAGGTGGGGTCAGGCTCTTCTCCCAGGGAACCAACAACAGGATGAGAGGACATGGCCTCAGCCTGCACCAGGGGAGGTTTTGGTTGGACACTGGAAGGAATTTCTTCACAGAAAGGGTGATTCGACATTGGAACGGGCTGCCCAGGGAGGTGGTGGAGTGACCATTCCTGGAGGTGTTTAAGGAAAGCCTGGACGTGGCACTCAGTGCCATGGTCGGGTTGACAAGCTGGTGCTCGGTCCTAGGGTGAACTAGGAAGGTCTGAGAGGTCTTTTCCAACCTCATCGACCCGCATGGCAGGATTTTACCCCCTGAGGGACAGTGCTCCCCACACGACCTTACTGCTCCTGAGGGCATTTGGCTGCCGTTCCCGCTGGGCCGGCAGACCTCGGGGCAGGAGCCGGGAGAGCCTGAGGGAACCGAACGCTGTGGGGCCGGGAGGTGAGAAGTGCGGAGCTGGGAAGTCCCCACGGAGCAGCAGGAGGAGGAGGAGGAGGAGGAGGAGGCGGGGACGGCGGGGGAGGGCGGGCAGTCCGTCCGTCAGCTGAGCGGGGCCGCCGCCGCCATGGGCGCGCCGTGAGGGGTGAGCGGGGACGGGATCCCTGAGGCAGCCCAGAGCGGGGGGATGGCGGTCRCCATGGCCGGGCTCGCCCGGTGACTCGGCGGATCCGTGTTGGGCCTGCGGGAAGGGTGGGCCTGCGGGAAGGAAGGACAAGACGGGGACACGCTGTTTCGCGGCTCCCGGGGGCCGGTCTGGCCCAGGGACGGAGCGGTTGTACCTGGGCGAAAGGTGTGAGCCCCGCACCCTCCCCGACACCGCAGCGCGGTGTGCCAGAAAACGGGAAAAGGGGACAAGAAAGCGAAAATGAAAGTTAAAAATCAGCGGAAATGGGAGCTCGGCGTGAAAGGCAAAGCCGAGGCAGTGACAGGGCCGGGCGGGTGGCGGGGCCCGAATGCWGTCAGGGCTGGGAAGGGAGTGGGCCAGGTGGGATCTCCTTTCATTCCCAGGGGAATGGGCTCCTGAAGAAGYGTTGGTAGCCCGAAAGACTCTTGGGGGTCATGTGTTTTAGGCCCATGAGGGACACACGGATACTCTGATGTAGCAGGATCAGAGCGATTGAAGGTGCCTGTGTACTGTGACAAGGCATGTGGCTTGCGTGTCTTAATAAAATGAGTGTATTATGAGTGATTATGCTTTCTTTGTAATTGGACAAGAAATTGAGAATTTTCTCTTGGCAAACTTTKTAATAGCTGCTTCAGAGATGTCCAACAAGTTGAAGGGCCGTCCTGCTGAAAATGGAGAGCATTCCAAGAGTAAAATGGAAAATGGAGTGGACAGCATGGCTGCCTCAGCCCTTAACACCTACACCCCAGAAGAGATGGTGCAGCAGATGAAAGAACTAATCACYGAGAACAATGAGTTAAAAGGTGAATGCTCACGTGAGCTGATCTTGAAATAYAAGAGCCCTGAGTCTCTTCTGAAGTGTTTGTTTTGTCCTATCAGTATGAATTCTKTGCTTATTTGCCCTTGCTGGGTAGCATTTGCTGTATAAACGACTCTGCAAGTGACAGTGCCAGTTTGGTAAGACACATAAATAGGATATTTGATAGAACACATGAAATTGAATTGGTGTGGAAGATTAGTGGGAGAGCAGTCCAATGTAGGGGTGACTTACTTGCTTTAGAATTTTATATATGAGCAGTATAGCACTGGATATTTTAGAAGGTGAGGTGAAAAATCTCTTCCTATGATATGCCTTTTGCTCATCAATCTCTAAAAGCTTTTTTTGGTTCGTATTGTAGAACTGTTGGCTCCATTAGAAACATTTTGCCAAAGCTGTATCAGGAGGGATGGGTACTGTACCTTCCATGCTTCCAGAAGGAGTGGTGGCTATGGCAGGGTACATCTGGGGGAAACCAATAGCTTTTCCTGAAAATTCCTAGTCCTTTGGGTGAGATAGATTTTTTTTCTCTGGACCCCAGGAATTTAGGTGTCAGTCATTTTTTATTTTAAATGGTTRGAGCAAAATCCAGGGGATCTGAGAATTTTCTGTGTGAAAGACAGAGGTATTTCACTGTTTATATGAGAACAGAGCATGAAGTCACATATCTCCTGTATTGTGATCTTACACTGGTGTTTAAATTCTTCCTGAATCATTTTTGGACCTGGTCCAATTTTTCTGTCTCGYGGGTATCTAGCAGGAAAGTTGTTTGTAAAAGTACCTCTGGTATGTTACTAAAAGGTCCTATATCATATAAGATTATGTTCTGGGACATATTTACAGCTGCTGTAACTCATAACTTGCAGAATCACTCTCTAGACTTCATTTTTTTTTCATAACCTGAAGGATTTATGGCCACTTTATAATATGACATTAGGACATAATAGAAGTTACTAGAAAATACAAGTATAAAAGATGTTTAAGCAACCAGCTTTGGGTTGTTTGCTTTAAAAAAAGCATGTCTAAAATAATTCCATTGACTCAGCCTAAAAATCTTTTGCAATAGTAAGACTGATACTGTTACATACCGACTTTGTTACATACAGGGAACTGACTTGGCTCTAAGTTGTTTGGAATATGTTTTCAATGCTTGCAATCAAATATTGAAGAAGAGCGTTGTTGAGCATATTTGAGACATTTTGATTGATATCATTGGCTTCCATGCAGTAATTTACCAATTTAGGGTGTTTTCCCTTGCCAAGTCTCAGTATTAGAAGCTCAGTTCAGCAATTTCATTTGGGCCGGTCATGTAAAAACCACACACAGCAAGGTACCAAGTACCTCTTGTGAGCAATGTTTCTGGCTTCTCAGTTTAGGAAAAAGTCAAGAAGTCAGCAAGTGTGGGCATGTGATCTCAGCAGTGGATTTAATGCTATTGTAGTGCTAACAGACTATGATAAGTTTAGTTTTCGTTTGGTATTTAAGGTACAACAGACAGAGGCTCACATTTCATACTCAATTATTGCCAACCCATTTGATACTGAAGAATGCTGAGCTCAGTGTAGTGGAAATCTGCTGTTTCATGGACAGAATATTAATGTGATTCAATGTCCTGTCTCTGGCTACCATTTAGAAGCCATGAAGTTGCACAACCAAGCTATGAAGGACCGATATGAGGAACTTTCTACCTGGAGAGAGAAGCAGAAAGAAGAACGAGAATTTTATGAATTAAAGTTTAAGGAGGCGAAGCAGTGCTTGCAGGCCAAGTGCATTGAAAATGAACAACTACAGCAGCAACTTCAGAGCTTAAAGGAAAAAGAAGGAGCTGAAATAGTAAATAAGGTAATGGTTGGATTGACATGCTTTTGAATTGAAATTCTGGAGTGTTCAGTCCCTTCTGTGATTCTAGGATTCATCACACTACAGAGRTTTGGAGATTTTTTAACAACTCCATTTTTATCCTTAGCTCTAACAAGTGGTCTTGACCTGACTTACTTTATAAAGTGAGAAGAYGTTTCAAAGTGTAGTAACAGAAAAYTATGGCACACCTGAAATAATTTACATTTTCATTAACATTTAATAAACARTAATAATTAACCTTTTTRCAAAACAAGAATTAGCACTTCTTGTTAATTTTTCATCTGTTATTGGATATCTCTTGATTTTATCCTTCCCTTTGGCTTTTAGATAATCTGTCTCTCGTGATCATTTAATTGTTTTTTGTATTGTGTTTCCAGGAGTGTGTTTTCAGGAAGAAGTTGACATGTGAACAAGCAAAAAAAAAATTACATGCCATCTATTTTTATTATATCAGTCTTCTTTTATGAAAGCTCTTTTACTGAGGTCAGATTAGATCTGTGCGTCTGCTGTTCCATTGAGAGTGACTGAGCTTTTTCTCTTGTGTCCTGCCCTTGGCTCTGTTACACATCATTTCTAATGTTGCAGGTGGTTGCACTGTAGCCAGGCAACATTTTGCAGGTGGTACTAAAGGCATCTGTGGGCAAAGCCTATCAAAACAAAACCTGCTTTGTGTCCCACATGGTCACATGAAAAGCTGCTTAACAAGAAGTTCCATGCAGAGCCAAACTGATGCATTCTGATGTCTGGTATCTCCAGTGCCCATGTGCATTCTCAGTTGTTTGATGAAGGCTGAGTATATTAACCTTTCTCTCAACAGAGTCACTCTACATTCCTCTCCAGATTGTTTTATGGAACTCTGTAAGAAATGTTTCAGCATGTAAATCAAAATTTGCCAATAAGCTCAGAAGTTTCAAGGGGAAGGAAAGTCATAAATACTGTGATTGTGTAAATATTGCTTACACAATCTTTACAGACTGAAAGTTGTGTCTCAGAATTGTCAAGAAAATGCAGAAWTTCATAAATCTGGGGTTTTTTTTAAAGGGCAAATAGAGGATTTACAATCCTTCTACATGCTGTAAAACTTCTTGTACTTTGAATGCTTAAAGTCTGCTGTTGCCAGAGTTTTCCAACCTGCTTGAGAAATCTAAAATCTTTCTCCTTCACTGGGACTGACTCTAAATGCATCCTCTTACAGTATAAGCACAAAATCAGAGGCAGCAGCAGGTCAGAGGGGTAGAGTGGTATTGTGGGATGAGAGATACTGTCAACACAGAGATAGTTTGGAGATTGGGCATAATTGCAGTTTAGAATGTAATTTAGACTCCAGGAATAGTCCAGAATTTGCATTCATAGTATGTGGTGTTATAAAGGCATTATCAGATGATGGAAGGCTCAGATTACAAAATGAGGAGGAAACAAATTCACAGGGAAAGTTTCATAATGGGGAGAGGCATCTAAAGGAGAGGAAAAAATGAGTCTTGATGGTTATGTAGAGGCTTAAGAGAGGGTTTTGAGTATCCTAGAGAAAAGGAAAAGGCAGAAGGTGAAGGAGATGGTCTTAATTGGAAGGAGAGAAGTTTGGGGAGAATCTTTGAAGAACAGAGACTTTGGGGAAGGGATCTAGGACTTAGTGTGAAGGTCAAAGAATCAGGGAGAGATTTATACATGGAAATGGGATACAAAAAGCTAGATGGTGGGGAAAGGCTAAGAATGGGGTGTGTAGAARAGCTTGTTGCCCACTGGTCTTTTCTTTCTTGAGTCATGGTTAGATATGGGAAAAGAGGAATAAGGATATGGGTGAAAAGATGGAATAATTCTGGAGGTTGACTGATACCCTATGTGGCAGTAAAAGGCAGAGATTCAGACAAAAATTTACATCCTAATTAACTGTGCATTCATAGAACCAGTCCCATATTTTCCAGCAGCATAATGCTCAGTTCATTTTCATTAATTTGGTTTCCCAGTTTAGACTTGCTGTTTAGTGAACCAAAACATAGTTTAAGGGTATGTACAGTGGGGTTTCCAGGCAAGCCTGAACAGAGAAGAAGGGATGTAGGACACTGTTGTGTTCAGGTCCWGTGCTCCTTGGCTGGTGTTCCCTTTTGTTTGGCTAATGCAGGGTGTGTTTATCCCAGGAGGGTTGCACGGCTCCTGAGAAGGAAGTGAGGCAGCTGAAGTCSCAGGTGCAGCGGCTCCAGGCTGAGAAAGCAGATCTACTCGCCATCATTTCAGAGCTACAGSTCAAGCTGAACATCTCAGCAGAGGATTCCTTTGTGGAGATTGGGATGAATGTAAGTAAAGGAAGTAAAAGGAATCCAGTAACCTGCAGTAAGGTACCAGCCTAAACAATTCTGTGMTTCTTTGSTCTCTYACATTATCTCCCATGGAGCACTCATGTATTTTGTAAGAGTTAGTGGTAAAGGAGTTGGAATCAGTTTTTATCCTTCAACTTTAAAGTTTTAAGTAAATTAGTTTAATGGATAGCCTCTGTTGCACTAGTTAAAAATGTTAAATCTTGTCTTGGTTGGAATTTCTGGGAATATCCACACTATGTTTTGTTAAGGCATTATCAGGAGGTAGAAGGCTCAGATTACAAAATGTGGAAGAAACAAATTCACAGGGAAAGTTTCATAATGGGGAGAGGCATTTAAAGGAGAGGAAAAAATGAGTCTTGCTGGTTYTGTAGAGGCTTAAGAGAGRGTTTTGTGCATAGATAGGGGCATTTTCTTTTGAGATTGGGRCCTACAGATAAGTAGAGATGCAGTCAAACAAAATTAAGTGCAAAACTCTATAGAGTATTCCCCAGACATAGAAATGTACTTTTTACAATTCCTGTATCTGGAAAATCATCACAGGCAAACTGAAATGTTAAATGCAGGCCTCTGCTCTTCCTCTATCCCACATATCCTCTCTCTGGAAAGTAGATGTGCAACAAGAAATTAAAAATAATTTCATTAAAACTTGTTTGTAGTTGTCAGAGAAAACTCAGGGATGCATTCTCCTTTTTGTTTTGTTTTGGGTTTKKTTTTTTTTTTTTTTTTGCTAGAAGGATCCTCATTTGGGCTGCAAACATCAAAGAGTGGGCTTTGYAGTGGGGAAGAAGAGTGGTTCTTTTAGAAGGCAGGAGAGTGATTTAAAGGCTTACACCTGCAGTGCTGTTGACTTGCTGTGTAGTGCCCAGTCATCTTCACAGGGGAGAATGGCTGTGAAAGTTGTTGATGAATGGAGAAGGGCAAATCTCATTGTTGTTCCTCTTCTCTAATCAACTGGAAGAGATACAGGGAAAGGCATGTGAAATATTTAAACTAAGAATTTCCAAACATGGATATGATCTGTAGGAGGTTTTTTATTTATCTGTATTGCCATTATAGCAATTTTCCCTGTTTTTCTTTATTCCTTAAATAAATAAAACTTTGTCCTGYTTAGTCCAAATACCAAACTAACTGTTTTTTTCTTTCTTAGGAAGGAGAAATAAATAGAACTACAAAGGAACATCAAGAGAATAGTGATGAAATACCCAGTAATGTTGCTGTGTATATGTACGTAGGTTCTTGTGCGATATGTGTGTTTCGGACTTTTGCCTTGGGTTTCATTTGCAATGTAAGGGAATTCTTTCTATGATGAGTGCACTGGAAAATCCTCCTTTTCTTTGGCTTTGCACCCCTCCATTGTAGTAGCTCTACCTTCCCAGGACGTGGTAAGACCCATAGCTCTCTGACATTTTTGCTTCCAATTTTCACTATCCCACAAGAGGRAGTACATATTCTGGCCAGTTGGCCAGGCATTTATGGATGTTCTGACTTGCCAACTCTTCAGGCTTTTAAGGGATGTCAAACAAAAGACAAAGATAGAGGCTGCAGGGGCATCTTCCTTCCTAATCACTGGAGACCATCTAGGAGAGTGTCTGTCCTATGCCCAATTATACTGATGTTGGTAAGAGTCAGAGGTCTGGTAGTCGTTCAGATCTGACCCTGTTTGTGTGTGGTTGGTTTGAAGTGTATCCATGGTGGGGTAGACACACRGTGCAATAACAGAGCCCTTGCTTTTTGGGTTTCTGGGTTTAAGATACCAGCATTCTGTTCAGGTTACTTCTCAAAATTTGATCTTTACATCAGCTCTAGGGCACAAGGGACTTTCTTGCCTCTGGCTGAACCTTTACTTCTCATGGACATAGACATCTGATACTGTTAAACTTTCCATTTTGGATACTGCCCAGTTTAGCAGCTAGATGGTTTTGGCTGAACTCTTATTTACTTTGTGCTTTTGCTTTTGAAAGGGAACGGTATGGAAAATGCTAAGGACATTTAGCAGGCCAGAAAGCTGTGCTGCTACCATGTACAAGTTGTCACTTTCTGTGTCATTGCAAGGGAGAACAGTGTTTCAGTGTAATATCAGAGAAACATGTCCCTCAGCATGCAGATAAGTAGTTAAGTAGGAGAAAAAAAAAAGGTCTTACAAATGTGGATGAAACTGAGAGAGTTGCTGACCACAGACCAGGCTGCAAGCATTGAGCTTGTTGTTAGTCGTGGCTTGTGAGAGCAGYGAGTATGGGAAGATATTCCCTGTGGAACTTGCTTACCTTTGGAAGAGTATCTGAGCCATATCTAAAAGAACAGGGGGCATACATACTTCTTAAAATATTTCCAGTGTCACCACGTGTCTTTGTCCAGCACTGAAACTTTAGATGGGTGCTGTTAAGAGGTTCAAAGAAATGTGATCCACTCAGGATGGATTTATTTCTGTAAGGGTAGAACTGCACTAAAAAATCCCCTGATAAAAGTTATTTACTTAAAATATCCTGGCTGAACACTGCCTTTTGGGTATTGAATTTTGGTCACCAGRGGTTTCTAGCTCTCGGGAGCACACAGAAGACTCTGCTTTGCTTTCTTTTCTGAACTACAAAAGCAAAGTTTTTAGCACATGCTATTTTACAGCTGAGACTCTGAAATGCACAGTATAACCTGCCTATCTTAGCACATAGTTTGGGAATTTTGACTTTCTGYCTAGATATACATAAAARTGGAAGTAATAGAATACAGTATTTTCTCACCCTATTTTTCGGAGTTTTGTATATTTTTATTTCTAGTTCACTTTACAGTTAGCATTATGTGATTTTGAAAAGAGGTATAGAATGTGAGAAAGGTGAAATATTAAAAAGATTGTTTTTAAAAAAGAAAGTGATTTCTGATGACTATTTTTAGTGGGACGTGCTTTTTTTTCCTGTAAAGGAGCAGGGCAGAGATAAGAAATATTCCATGTTTTATTGTGAAAAAATGTTTGTAGGAACAGACAGCAGCGCTTTGCAGAAAGGGCTGCAAAATAGGTCAGAATAAGTGCACTGGGTTTTGTATTGTCATGACTGCTTTTGCTTAGGTGTGAAATTGTTCCCCCAGCTGGAAGGCCTGAGCCCTTCATTTGTGCACACAGGCTGTGGGTAGTGGTCTTGGCTCTTGRGAATTGGGAATGAGCCCTTTGCTCAGAGCACTGATTTCCAGCACTGTGTGGAATGGTGGCCTCTCAGACTGGAGACCAGTATTAGGGATAAGGGACTGCTCTGGCACTCTGGGGGTAGCTGTGGTTATTTACATTTGGTTTGGTTTGAAGCAGGAGCAAATCTTCAGATGAATCTAAGAATTTGGAGTCTGAGGAGCTAACTGTGAGCCAGCTGCTCTGCTGCCTTAGAAATGAAACTCAGAAGAGTGAAAAACTTGAGAAGGAACTTCAGGATCACAAAGAGAGGTATGAAGTAGGTGCACTGTAGCATTTGGAGCTGCTTTCTTTCAGGGCTGCTGCAGTTACCAAGTTTCTGGATGATCAGCAGCAAGCTGTAATATCAATGTGATTTGAAAGGGAAGTTTCCTGTGCACTCAGTTGTAACAACATTTTGTGATACTCCTTATAGGGATAAATCACAGGTTGTCTTCCATGGGCAAAATAGATTTTATTATGATTTCAAGAAGCACCACAGATTAAGGCAAATTACCCATTTCCTCTTGGGTTTGAACTTTCTCTGGGTTATTGAGAAAGATAGGATGACTAGTTGAGAGTGTTCTCTCCATTCACTCCTCCACAGATACTTGGKTTTGTATGAATCATCTCTGTGTGGGGCCTTAACCAAATCACTGTGTCTAAAAAYGGGATTACAGTCCTCTTCGTGATAYTGGCATGCTACATTTAGCAGTGTGTGAGCTTGCAAAAGCTCCTTAGAAATGTCTRAAATAAGGTTAATTCCAAACTTGTCTGAGAGTTTTCACAGTGAGACCTATATGAGGGTCTAYCTCCACTCAGTTCTCTGGGTATAAATGAGCACAACTGTTCAGGAGTGGCAAATCCCCAGGCTGTAGCTGTGCCAGATCCCCATTTCACAGAGACAGRGTAAGACTTTCCTGGACACTATCTACTATGAAAGGTTGGTGTTACAGTAATTGYTTCTATGTGGTCTTCCTAGAAGAGGTAATGAGCTATAACCAAACAACTCTTAGAAACCTCAGCCCCTGAAAATACCACAGGAAAATAAAGGCAGTATKAATCACTGGATTTAGTAAACAGACTGACCTATTTCCAAAGAGTTGGCAGTTTTGGAYTGTGCCAAAGATCAGTACCTTTGGACTGAATGTCATGACCTTCACCACACCATTCAGACTTATGCATCCATTTTAATTAAATGTATACTGTCCTGTGTTCTTCAAGAGCCCCATGATTGTGCAGGCCTTCCTGCATGTCTGTGCCTTCCATTCTGCCCTGTGAGGTTTTATTTGTGCTGTCATGTTACAAAGAGAGTACATCACTTGCATGAAATCTTTGTATGGTCACAATCTCACCTGAAACATAGGCCAAATCCATCATTATYGACTCCCTCTGTTTTCCAGACTCTCAAAGCTGGAGAAGGAAACCAGAAACTGCCTGGAGAGTGGGACACAAACTGAGCAGGAAGAAGAGAGTTCAGAAGCTGTAAGTACCTATCCTCAGCTAAGATTTAACAATGTACAGCTGACTTCTTGTGGTCAGCAAACTCAGGGTCTAGATTTCTGCTTGCACTCAGGAAGCAAGGGGCAATTTTCCTGCACAGAGAATGGAAGTGAACTTTGAACTCTCCAATAGATATGTTAAGGGTGGTTCCAAATTATGTCAGCCACAAAAAGGGGTGGGATTGGTGGTCAAGAATTAGGRAGGCTTGGCATAACTGCAGTTWTAMCTCATTGCCMTGGCYRTGCCCAGTAAGYRGAGAGAAATACAGTAATTTTKATCTCCAGAAATCATCTAGACTGGGTGAATTTCCTCGTTGCTGACTAGCTCRGCTTTTGGATCAGAATCCAGTGATAGCATACTGTAAAACAGACTTTAATSTGGAGCTCATATGGCCTCTGCTTTTGGTGTGTTCATGTTTTTAGTKGGATGTTTTACAATGGTGGGGCATAACTAGCTTGGATTCAGACACAGGTTCAGGCAAAAACTTAGTYCTGATGTTTTCAACTAAGTGTTTGAAAGAATGCTGGGGTTGGGATTCATCTCTGGAGTCAGACACCTGCAACTGTAAAACCTCTGTGTGAGGCAAGCGTGCAATCCCATAGCCCTGGAGATCCATGCTGGTTCTGTGCAGCTGCATAATACAAGCAACAACAAGTGCTTGTATGTGAGGTGTGTGGGTTATCTCAAGTGCTGCATGGGACTTGGAAATATACTCTGGGACCTGCTGGAGACCTGTGCCCTTCTGAAGGTCAGGATAAGTATTTTAGGGCAGGGCTGGTTAAACAAGACCAGTCTGCAGTCAGGCCAAGAGATGGCCTTCCTAGGGAAAGCAGATGATGTCTTAATGTTTTGCTGTGCTCTTATCTCAACTTTGCCTGAGTTGCAGCCTGAGCCCAATGCTTCTCATTGAAGTGCTGATACTGAGATCAGCACTTGTGCTTGTCCTGTAGCTGTTTCCGTATACACTGTTGGGTTTCTTCAGATGCTCTTGTCAGCAGAGCTCAAGTTACCTGCCCTTGTGGTAAAATGTAGACCTTCAGTGGAACAGTGTCAAGAGCAGTGTGGAATAATTGTAAAGCCTTGTAGATGGGGCCTTATTACTGAGTATAGAGTGTAACTGTGCAGGCTGACTTAGGCTGTTTTTTCTAGAGTGAGACTTGCTCTAGAGCCTACAACTTTACTATCTTGAATTGTCCATGTGTAATTTTCACTTTTTTTTTCTAAAAGGTTGGCAGTGAAGTAGAAACTCTGAATCTGCAAGTTTGTGCTCTTTTTAAAGAGCTTCAGGAAGCCCATGAGAAGTTAAAAGAAGCAGAATTGATTCAGAAGAAACTACAAGAAAAGTAAGGCTCAGAAGAGCAAAAGTTCTTTCATGACACCCAGTACACACTTGTATGACATCCAGTACACACTGGCATGACAACTCCCACCTTGGGAAACTCACCTTTTCTATAAATATCAACTTAAATGTTTCATAGAAGTGCTGTAAAAGAATGCTCCTTTGTAAGGGGAGAAGTGCAGAAATACAGCAATTGTCAGAAAATCTGAGCTGCCAACATAGTTCTACAAATAGTGCCTTGAATTATAAGATTTGGGTTTTAACCCTTCATGATGTAAAGGCAAATCTTTTCTGTTTTCTCCTTCACATAATCAATCCCTATTCTGGCTTTAGAGGAAAAAGCCAAGAGACCTGGTTATGACCTTTTCACAAGAGCCATCTGGGCTTTTGAAGAAAATTGTGTAGGTTATAAAAGTGTTTACAAGACTCTCACTTCTTTTGCTTAGCTTCCTGTCAAATTCCTGTTCTTTGAGATTCATAATAATAAGAAATCAAATGTTGGTTTTGATAGCTTTGTTTTTTGATGGTTGTGTATAGATAGATTTTTGTCTGTTCTTCATCAAAATAAGCTTTTWAAGTGAACCACACAAATACTCCATTTGCTATATGCCTGGGGGCAAAATCCATCAGGAGAGATCGACCTTTTTTTCTTGTTGTGTCAGGTGTCAGGTACTGGAAAGAAAAAGCTTGGCTGCTGCGTCAGAATTGGAGGAGAAGCAGCAGCTGATATACACCATCAAGAAGCTGGARCTCCAGGTTGAGAGCATGCAGGCAGAGGTCAAGCTGGAACAAGCCAAGACACATGAGGAAAAGTGAGTATGACTTGGTTTTGTATTCCAGGGAGGTATTGTCAGTGAGGAAGCGAAGTCCAGGRGAACCTGGTCAAAGGGGAATTGAATCTGAAGTACTACTTTTGTGTCCTGCACCCTTTGAAACTATGTTATGGTTGTAGATTATGAAGTAGAAGTCTGTATTTTTTCGTCTACTGAACCCCTCACTTAGGAATACTTGGACTGTCAACTGTGACTTGTATCTTCCTTTAATCATGAAGTCAAAGGTGGAATAGAGCCAGCTGTAACAAGTGGAGGAAGCAGAGAAGTGACAACAGCTGTGCCACTGAGGAGCAGGGGTAAATGCGGACACATCCTGGAGGGCAGGGACAAGTCAGGTGGTGACAGCGCTGGGAAAGTGACATTAATGAAGAGGTCTGCAATCCTTACAGTATGTTTGCACTAGGAGAGTCAAGTGTGCGGTGAAGCTGAGGTAAAAAGAGGCTGTTTGCTTTGGCTTCCTGCTCCCTTTCATGTGCAGTCCATGTAAGGAGTGTGAAAATATTACTCCAAGCTGTTCAGGAAGACTTCCTGTAGCTGCAGAAGCTGCTCATTATCTTTGGAGTCTGTGTCTGGTTCTTCTGATGAATTCTCCTTCACATGAAGTCTGAGTCAAGATTTGGATGTCTTCCTAAGAGAGGTGTTACATTTTGAACAGTATTTGTGAGCTTCATATATAAAAATACTAAGTGAGGGATTCTTCAATATGACATGCCGATGATCAGTAAGGACRTTTGTTTGCATTCAATCCATGGATRGAGCAGCACACAACTCATTGGAAGAGAGATGCTGAGACACGGGGCATGACTTTTTCTCACCAGAAATGCAGATCGATTTGCGAGGAGCAATAGTGGCTTTTTTTAAAGTTCTGACATTATTTAGATTTCAAAGAATTGTTTCAAACCTTCATCTCTTTTCTTGTCATAAACAGGGCAAGATACAATAACCTGCAGGATTCATATAGCAAGCTCCTTCCTGAACTCACTGAGGCAATGAAAAAAATTGATGAAATGAAACTCAAAGAGGTAAACTCATCATAAGAAGAAATTGTAATTAATTAGGGGTGAGCAGGAAGGGATGGGACAACAGCTCTGGGATCAAATTTGGGTAAGAAACAATTGTCATCCCTTCTACATAATGACATKCAACATAGCAACACTGCCCTGATAAACATAGATCCTGAGCTGTCAGTTACAGAAAATTTTATCCACACATCAGTACTTCCATGATGTTTTCTGAGTAAGGTGCAGTGCAACATAGAGTCGAGTCCTTAGACAGAAGTGATAGACAAAGGCATATCAGTGTTCCTGCAGCATTAATTATAAAATAGTGGGGAGGTAAACCTCTAAACATTTTTGTATTCTTAAACAGAATGCCTGCCACAGTGAGGTCTTGTTAATAAACTGAACCACCATGGAGGTGCCARATTGTTCTGTGTAATTCCAGAAACTAGGAAAACATCTTTTGCAGGATCCACTGAACTTTTAACTTAATACAGTGTTGTTTGAAAGCTCTAGTCTTTAAGGTAAATTATCAGTCACCACTGCAGTCTTAGCCCAAGTTCTTTTGGTGACCAAAATTGGAATCTTTTCCTAGGACAGAAGGAGTAAGAGGCAAACAGTCGTTTTGAGGGGGGTCATATTCAGAATTCACCTCATAATCGCAATTCTTCTTTGCAGCTAGACAGAGTGGATAAAGCTATAGTGGAACAACTGACRGCAAAGGTGGAGTTGGCAGAACAAGCCCTTGCTGCAAAGCAGCTCCAGATAGATGAAATGAAGCAGATAATTGCTAAACAAGAGGAGGACCTTGAAACTATGTCTGTGCTCCGTGCTCAGGTATGAGCTCTTCACAAACTGGCTACTTCCCTTATCCAATATTCAGAAACCAGGAGTTATTCAATGGCTCACTCTGGAACACTGAATATGTTTGCTCAGTTTCAAAGYGTAATTCCCTTACTTGGCTTGCCTTGCAGATTCCTGCCAAGCMTTTTTCCACTATATTCTGGGGCTCTGTAGGAGGAACTGTGTATGCTGGAGTCTGGCACAACAAACAGAAGTTGGGAATAGATATGTATTTAGAACCACTGGCTTTAGAATCACTGAATATGTTTTAGGGATGATTTTACTCAAACCAGCATGTGTTGAGTGACTAAAAAGGCTTTGCCTCACATTTAAGGCAGAGAATTGGCATCTTGGGCTGGTTCCACTGTCTGAGCCAGTGTTGTCAGCGTAATCAGTCAAGTCACCTCCTCACTGCTTGTAATGAGTCTCATTTCTGCCTCTGTACAGCAGAGACAACACCTGCATCCCAGGGAAGACACCTGAAGTATCTTTTACAGAATCCAGAAACTGTTAAGTCTTCTTCACCTTGTGAGAAGTGCAGGTCTTGGCTTTGCAGTGYGTGGCTGTTTTGAGTAGATGCAGATAATGATACAGATTTGTGATTTTGATGTATAGTACACGAATATGGTTCAGTCAAAGTTACAAATTTTCAGCCTGATTTCATTTCTCTGATCAGATGGARGTTTATTGTTCTGATTTCCATGCTGAGAGGGCAGCAAGAGAGAAGATCCATGAAGAGAAGGAGCAGTTGGCTGTCCAGCTGGCRTACTTGCTAAAAGAGCAGCAAAACCTTGAAGATCTTGGACGGTGAGGACTGACTTTGGCTGAACTTCCTTTTCATTTTCCCGTTCTTCAGTGTACTAGAGTTGACCAACGTTGTCTTGTGAGCATCTCAGCAGAAAAGCAAATAACTTTGCAGACATTTCTTGTTTAATTTGAATTTTAAAAGAGAAAAAAAGTGAATTGGCTGATTTTGCATTTTAATTTTCTGGTAGAATCTCTGTAAGGCGTATTAGTTCTTAGTTGGTTACYTTAGCAAGTTTTCATTTTGGATGATTCATGCTTGGTAAACTCTCCCTGTTGATCCATGTGAGTTTTTTGGGGTTCTGGCCTCAATTTTAGCAGTGAATCTGCAGCTAATCTTGCTCTGTGTGTGCCAGGGATATCTCCTGCTTCTCCAAGAGGGGCAGTTGTGAGTACACAGCTCTGAGTCCTATAGTAGTTGAATCAAGTTACATTTCACATTAATTGTACACTGAATCCTTTTTCTGGYATAACTTGCTTTTCTACTTTAATCAAATTTGCAGTTTTCCCTGAACAGCTGAGAGTCCTTGGAGCTTTCCAGAGAAGTGTACCCATTTCCCTAGSTGTGTGGTTGCCCAAATCCTGCTGCTGGTGTCAGTGGCATGACCCTGATTTCAGCAGGCCCCTGGCATGATCTCACAAAGCAGCAGCATTTGTAGGTCTTGTTTCTGAGCAGCAGTTGTGAACTAAATACACTCCCAGTTGACAGGAATCTGTTTTCAGAGCCCTTGACTTGTTTATTCTCTGCAGGACCTCTCTGGCGGAGATGCAGAGTCGCCACGGAGCCAGGATGCCGGATCGAGAGCACTCACCTCACCTTGTCCAAAGAGGTACTGCAAGCCCCTACTCTAGCTCTCGAGGCCAGGTTCAGGTTAAACCAGCTTTGCTTGGCTGCAGGCAGCTTCCCTGTGGTTATTCTGGCAGCTGGGTAGCTGCAGAGACCAAATTAATGTAATACAACAGGTAGCCATTTACCTTCTCTGCTTGCAGGAACTAATAGTCAAGACTGGCCAGAGCAGCGGAATATTTCAGTTTATTCATGTCCTAAATGTGAAGAAATTCTACCTGATTTGGACACACTTCAGATTCATGTTATGGACTGCATCAACTGAGTGAAGCTCTCCAATACTTCATCTTCTGGAATTTCACCTGCCAAACACTTKGGGTTTTTTTCCTTCTTGCTCAAMAAATGCTCAGCTCTTATGTCCTATGAAGGAGGTTTTCAGGGATTTTCTCATTAATTCAATGGGAAAAGGGTAAAACTCTTCCCCTGCCCTGTAGYCACTAATCTTGTTGTAATCTGCTTTAGGGAAGGAGTTTAGATAGGAGTGTAGATTAACAACATGGATGTGCTACAGAACTCGCAGTGTGTCTGCTGCTATGAAACCTTTCAGGAACATTCCCCTGAAGTGCTCTGCTCTATGGCTACTCTGCAGAATGGGGCTGAATCATTGAAGTTGGAAGAGAGATGAGCTATTTGCTGATCAACTCAAAGTACTGTGAGCCTGTGAATACTTMATCTCTCATATACTATATACCAGAAAAGTAATGCACAAAAAAAGCTGTGTGAGAAGCTTTCAGCAAAATGGAATAGTGCTGTATTCATTGAGCATTTGAAGTGAACGCTGCTCTTTCTCCAGATGGCAGTTTTATTGCTGCCRTTGTGACCATACTAATCTGATGTTAAATTTTTGATGGCTTATGTAACTTCTTGCTTTAGCCAGATGTGGGTAAGATTTAAAACAGATCCGCTAGGTCTGATATATGTAGCTCCTGGTGTACTCAAGTCACTTGGTTTTATAGAACTGTTAATTTTTAAGATATTGACTTAATTTTTCTTTATTATAATAAAAACATTTGACCCTGTACAGTATTGTGGTAGAAAGCACTGAGATGGATGTAGCCTAATTTAAAGAGTATAGTGGATTTTCACATATCAAAATAAATCTATGACAATTACATATTTATCTGCCTGTGAATACTGGGGAGACTGAAACAGGATTGTAAATTCCGTATGTCTGAAAAGCTTGTGTAGAAACAATTGTAGTGGATTAGGTCTGTTCTTGCCTTCCCAGGTGTTTTTATCCCAACAACAGGGAGACAATCCCTTTTTTGCCCTAGTAATTGGARTAATTGCCTGTTGTCACTTTTGTTCCAATTATCACTTGTAGACTCTGGATTCGTATTTTCTGTTATAGCTCATATATGGCTTCATCCATAAWTTCAGGTAACACAAGAGCTGACCGTTATGAAGAGGTATTCATCAGCCTGGTTACAACATTCCTCATCAATTACAAGTAGTCCCAGCAGATGCAATCTCTTACTGGCTTTTAATTGGTTGGTTGTGACAGTRGGATTTATCGGCTTTTTTTTACCCTGAGTCCAATTTTATTATGGGAGTTTTGTGACAGTTATGGATTCCTGCAGTGATCAGAATCTGATGGAAATGCTACTCTGCCAGAAGCAAACTAACAATGATAATAGAGCTGATTTCATCTGAGAAGTATTAGGCTTAATGAAAACACAGAAAATCAATGTGAGAGGCCGAAGGAGGAATTACTTATGCATTCATCAAGTCAAAATTAATCATTTGAGGAGGTTGCAGAGAGAGGGGATCTTAGTTCTGGAATACTAACAGGGGGACATGGGCATTAGCTGAAGTAGTTCTTCATAGAAAGATAATACAGTAGGTCTAATAGTAAAGATTAGGAGGGGCAAGGAACTCTAAAGAATAAAGCCACACTACCCTGAAACCTGTTCATGAAACAGGGACAATTATTTTTCTGTTGTCATTACAAACTGCAATCTCCCAATCAGCCTGTACATCCTTAGAAATACTGTTCTTCACAGAATTACAGTTGTACCAAAAAAATACTGAACCAGACTACAAAATTTTATCCACTACACGTGGCAGTAACTGTGATTGAATTTGCTGGTGTAAGGCAAGTGCTGACATTATTTAGGTTATCTAGATGAGGATGATGCCTGCTGTGACTCTTCCCTGAGCCCACTCTGCCYGGACATGGGCAACTCTGCAGCTAATCCAAAATTCTGCTCATCCAAAGCCTCCATCAGGAATAGCGTGTTCACCAGGACCAGGGATGTGATCCTTCCCCCTCTGGTGGGCACTGGTGTGGCCACACCTTGAACCCTGTGTTCAGTTCTCAGCCCCTCAGTTCAGGAAGGACACTGAGGTGCTGGAGCATGTCCAGAGATGGGCAACAGAGCTGGGGAAGGGTTTGGAGCACAAATCCTAAGGGGAGCAGCTGAGGGAGCTGTGGGGCCTCAGCCTGGAGAAAAGGAGGCTCAGGGAGGCCTTAAGGCTCTACAACTCCCTGACAAGAGGGTGTATCCAGGTGGGGGTCAGGCTCTTCTCCCAGAGAATCAACGACTGGACGAGAGGACATGGCCTTAAGCTGCACCAGGGGAGGTTTTGGTAGGGCACTGGAAGGAATTTCTTCATAGGGTGATTCGACATTGAAACGGGCTGTGCAGAGAGGTGGTGGAGTGACCGCCCCTGGGGGTGTTGCCGGACACTCAGTGCCATGGTGTRGTTGACAGGGTGGTGACAGGTTGAACTCGGTAGGACTTTTCCAGCCTCATCGATTCTGTGGTCCCCATGGCGCTGCCGCCCCCGCCTCTCAGCGGGCACCAGACCCCTCCCCTGCGCTCGCCCACGGGCAAGATGGCGCCGGCAGCGTCGCCGCTGCCAGTACTAAAGATGGCGCGCGCGCATGCGCGGGAAGGGGGCGGGGCCAGTGTGAGTTTTGGCGGGCGGCTGGAAGCGCGCGCGGCGGTGAGTGGGGTGCGTGAGGGGAGCGGGGGGATCGGGCACAGGGAGCGATCCCGGGGATGGAGCCGGGGCCAGGGACCGGGGAGCCACGGGGGAGGGAGCCCCGGGGGACATCGGGGTTCCACTGGGTGGGGGAGGCGGCCGAGCGGAGAAAGGAACCGTGAGGGAAAAGGCGCGGAGTCCGCCTTTGCCTGCTCGTGCGAGTTCTGCATTTTTTCTGAAAATGAAGATTCCTGAGCAAGAGAGAACTATCAAAATTCATGGGCAAAKCAAACGTCTCTGCAGCAGGAAGACCTGTAAGCACATTTAGAATTTGGGTTTGTGACTCGTTTGACCTCCGTGCACTTCCCATCTTTCTTATCCAAGGTTTCCTGGGCCATTCATGTCCGCCTCTATGGATTGTTTTTCACTGACCCTTCTCGGAGAAGCTGCGAGAAACGCAGACTGTATGCTTTTGAAAATAACAATTTATGCTTTAATAACTAGCTAAATGCTGACTGCAGTTATGATTGGTGAGGTGGAAATGGTTATTAATGGAACATGGTAGGCATTTCTTAAATTCTGTGTCTGTAATGGCCTTTTTTCTAAAACCAGTGTATTTATGCTGCAGCAAGTTCAGACTTTTGATGTAGAAAATGTATGTGAAGGTTTTAGGTGGAGTCCTCATCTGCAGCTGTAAACAAAACCAAGCTGGTGGATTGCAATGGAGTCTGAACACGATATATATTGCTAGATGAGGTATGTGTACTTTAACAGTATCACCTTTGTTCTCCCCACAACAGAGAATATTTTGCCTTGAGGGGTTCTTCAAGAAATCCTGGTGAAACTATGGATGGTAAGGGAGAAAATGCTCTTACTTTCAGTCGGGAACTTGTCTTATCAATGTGTTAGTTAATAAGTTCAGGTTCAAAAAACCTGGTAAGTTTTAGCAAAGGAATTTACACTCCACCGTGTTTATTTGCAGGGGTCTTTCAGGCTGTCTCTTGCCTTCCTTCTTGTCACTTCCCTGTGAGGCTGCTCTGTGCCTTCGCTAGTTTGGTGTTTTTCTCAGCAGCAAAGGCCAAATCATTTTCTTGGCTTGTTCAGAATTCCAATTCTGTCCTGTCTGCCCCATTCCTCCCTCTGTTCTTGTCTTTTTTCCATTTTTTGTTCCTTTGTTCGTATTTCTTTGTTCTCCATGTTCTTCCATGAGCAAACTATATCTGAGAAAGAATGTGCTTTGTTGCGTGCCTTGCATCTCTCTCTTCCCCTTCCCTTGKCAAAAGCCACTTGAGTGCCTCTGCTGGCTGCATCTTTACAGGCTCCAGGATTTTCTGTGTAACAGCAGCTGCAGTAAAAGGAGCTRCATAGGAGGAAAAGCTACTGCTGAGCAGGTAGCAAGTTTTCTACTGACTTGCCAGCCTGTGTCACAAGCTGAGAGTGTCTGCAACAACTTTTCCATCTGACCTCACAGGAGGAAGCTGTTCTAGATGCATTTAGCCAAAGCTGAAGGTTTTTTTAAAAAATGCCACTTGCTGCTTTGATATAGTTTCAGATTTTATTAGATTSGAGTATGGGTGTCTTGGATGTTTTATTCCTTGGCAGCTTTCYACTAACTGGACAGAAATAACTCTGAGTTTAATTTTTGCCTTAGCTGATGATGACTTGGATCTGTTGGCTTCCCTCCTGGAAGAAAATGAAGCAGCTGAGGAGAGGAATTCTCCTGAGGAAGATGCTCCTGAGGATGAGGGGGGAGAACCAGATGAATATGATGAGCTCTTCGATGCAGAAGATGAYGCATCCTACACTGAAGAGGTTGATKCTGAGGACAGCCTGATTGATGAGCAGAAGGAGAACCTGGCTACGCTGTTTGGAGATGTAGATGACCTGCTGGAAGAGGAGGAGGCAGARAATGCTGTCCCCACTTCAGCTCCCAGTCAGGCGAAGGAGAAAACCAATGAAGAATTGCAAGGTTTCTGTAACAGCATCTTTGATCTGTTGTGTTGGATATATTTTGTCTCTAGAGAGCTAACAGGCAGGGGGTAGAGCCTGCTGCTTCTTGATGATGGCTGGAGAGGGAATACAGAAAGGYCTTGTAAAAGTTTCTAAGTTCAGTTTTCAGTGCTCAAAGGCCAAACTCACCAAGTCTGTTTTCCCAAAAGAAAGAGGACTTACCAAAARCCAGAGAGACTAACATAGCTGTGCTGAGCAGGATAGGGAAGGTTGCCTGTGTACCTGTGCCCTCCTCCTCAGGGCTTATTGACAGGAGGTTCTGCCCATACCAGTCAGTGTGGAAGCAGAGCTGGCTTCACCTTTCCTGTGTCCAGGCTGTGTATTTGATCATATCAGACACACTTCTTTATGATAAGGAGTGCAATCTATTTAAATTGTCCTATGGTCAGTCASAAAGTTTTATTCATCATGGGAAGGAACATACTGTGACTAAGTAAAATATTTTTATGAGAAGAGCCAGCTTCAGGCTGTATGGAAAAGTTTGCCTTCACTATGAGCTGTGTAGAATCAAGTAAATTTGCATTGTGACTCGAGTCTTCATTTTCTAAGTTTTCATGATGCAGTAAAAGTGCCAGACTTCCAGGGATCTCATAAATCCTTGTTTGCAATGGCTTCCTGCTGTCTTCATTATTCTTTTTCTTCTCCTTTCTTCCTTAGCTGAGCTGAGAAAATTACAAGAACAAATGAAGAYGTTACAGGAGCAGTTGCAGAAGACTGCTCTTGGGCAGCAATCCAGTTCAGGTCCTGAAAAGAAAAGCCCTGGTAATGAAACTAATTAAATGGATTTATGATTTATTCGCTTACCAATGTAAATTTATAGGCAGGACTTAAAATAATCCTGAAGTGGGCATTAAGTAGCAAGGAAGAATGGTGGTCTGGTTTTCCCATCAGAGGAATTTTTTGTTTCTTACAGCTACAGACTAAATCAGTTTTGGTCTCTGCATCATGGATTAATTGTATATGGGACAGCTTTCATGACTAAGTGCTCTAGACTCTTCTGAAAATGTCCCTTCTTACTGGCAGATGTTGGTACACCCAGTAAATACAGCTGTGTTTGTTGCTATAGCATGTTGGATGTAGTAATGAAACTTCATAGAAAAATTGCAAAGCAGAGGGATGTTTCCACAGCTTTGAGGTTGCAGGGACATCTGAAGTTTTAAGTTGTCATGGGGAAGASTCACTGGGACTTTTYYAGSTGTTGCATTTCAGATGCTGACAACTTGGCTGAAGGGTTTCCACATGAGGCACTGACTTGGACTTATTAATAAGGAATGATGTAGTTTGGAGTAGTGCTTAAAGTTTGAGTTCAGATCCCGAGGTCTCATAGTTTTTTGTTTCCTTGGCCAGGTAAATCTCCCTGTCCACCCTTAAAGGAAAGGAAAGTTCAGAAGCTGCAGGAGTCACCGTGCTTCTCAGCCCAGCTGGGCAATCCTTTACCACCAGCCAAGCGAGGAATCCAGAAATCAAAAGCATCCTCAGCAGGTACCATTCTCAGTCTGCCTTTCCCTGGAATACAGTGGGCTTTTGTCAAAAGCTTATAGTTCCCAGCAATGGTGTGAACATATCCAGAACAGTGTTACACTAGCCAGGAGTGGTCTGGTCACAGTGGCAGAGAGCTTATGACAGTTAATTGTTGCATTCTTTGTAATGAGAGCTATGCCTTTTTTTTGCCTTTTTTTTTCTGCTAAAGAGAACAAGATTCCTCCTCCACAACAAGTCCTCAGTCTGGCGTTCCAGCCTCTCAAGTCTGCCACAGGGAACACACCCAGTAAGGTGACCAGAGAGAAGACTTCTCATGTACCTGCATGTTCCAGTGCAACCACTCAACCAGTGTGTGTGGAAACCTTCTCAGGACTGAGATTAAGGTCAGCAGCCCAGCTCTAAACTCTGTCTGGGGCCACTCCCTCCTGTAATAGCAGAGAAAACACAATGTATATACATGGTTTATATCCATGTCACATTAGTCACTTGTCATCAGGGGACAGATGTAACACAAAGCCACAGTGCTGGCTGGTTGATCAGTAATTAGGTAACATTGACTTTTGGCTTAAGTACAGTGTTTCTGTTTTCACCTCTGTTCATTTCTAAGAGAAAAGCTCTAATTTCATTAGCACTGCCTTCCCTGGGATAKTCTCACTGGTGGAGCAGGGAAGCAGTGAGCATATGCAAAGCCCAGCTGAGCTCCAGTTGAGCCAGTTTCTGCTCCACACAGAAGCCTCAGGAGCCACTCACCATCCCCATACTCAGTGTGGCCACAAGAGGACTCTGAATCCTCACAGTGTCCTCATCAGARCCCAAGCTGTATTCCCAGCTCAGTCAGCCATTCTTGGTTATTCTGAAATGAGCRGAGTTAATGCAGGCTCGGGGCTGTGTTTCAGTGCAGCTATTTGGACAAAAAACAGTGTGATCAGTAGCATTCTGATATAGACTGTTCTGAACAAGGCATTTTGTTCAGAGATGCACAGAGGTATTTTGCAGCAAGATGTAGTCTTGGAAGATGATGGGTAGTTTTGATGGCTCATTTATGCCACTGGTTATGTTCTTTTTCACCTGCTTTCATTGGATGTAGAAAACCCCGGGTGTCTTCAGCTGAAATGGACAGGAAAATGGCTAACAGGAAGCTCATCCGACTGTCCCAGCTGAAGAGTAAACTTGCTACTGAAAATCTGGAGGAAATAGACTGGGTAACATTTGGAGTCATAGTGAAGAAGGTCACTCCTCAGAGTGCAAATAATGTAAGTAACTTTACTGCTCAATTCAAATGAAATACTGGTGTCTTTCCTGAGAAACTTTCCTAGGTCTTYATTTAATCAGCCAACTCCATGTAGTTAATGGAAAACTTCTGTATTAAAGGTTTTAGCTTGTCTGGTTTCAACCAGTATTKTACATGTCCTATAGAAAGTCACTGATGAAACAGATCTGGATATGCTGTGGTTTTGTGTGTTCAGTGGGGTAAACAACTCTATTCAGTGAGCAAGTGTGTTGTCCAGCTTTAATGCCAGAAAGGTTGGTGGTAGCAGAATAATTGTGTTGATTTGGCCTGTAGGAACCCCAGAACTGGCAGCATAGATGACTGGAGATACTGTATCTAACCTCTACGGAGGTTACAAAATGTGTTTTTCTAAACCATAAAAACCTTGGAGAGGGRGAAAGGAGAATAGCTCTTTCAAGGAAACAGCAAGAGGGGATGCAGTCACTGTTGCTGCACACAGCTGAAAGGARAGGGAATGTCTGTTCCAGGGCAGGACCTTCAGTATCTGGCGGCTGAACGACCTGCGGGATCTCAATGAGTGCGTCTCGCTCTTCCTSTTTGGTGAAGTCCACAAGCAGCACTGGAAGACAGACCAAGGCACAGTCATTGGGCTGCTCAATGCCAACCCTATGAAACCTAAAGAAGGCTCAGATGAGGTGAGAGGTTTTTTCATTTGCCCATCAGCTGTGGATAAAAACTCATAGTTGARCCTTTTCATATTTGGCTGAGATTTAGCTGTACAACACATCTTAAGGTTGAAATTTCAGCAGTCTGTGCAATAGTTTGAATTGCAATCAGGTAGTTCCATGATGTGTATTTTCCCCTGGCYGCCTTCAAGAAGTCCTATTAAGCATTTAAACCCAGAGTTTGTTGCAGTGTTTAATCTGCTCTTGGTAGCAGTTGGCTCTTCCACAAATATAGGGAATATATTTTCATTTCAGTTAATTCAGCTACTTCAGTGCATCACCTATTTCAGCCTAGAGGTCTCTCAAAGCTAAAAAAGATGTACAAGCTCATTTCTCTCTTCTAATTCAAGCATGAGATACAATTGCAAAATGTTTCTGGTTCAAAAATCACAACTGAGAAGCAGCAATGTTTGTTTTATTGAACGAACAATGTATTATGTAAATATATGTTGTTTGATACATAGTAGTTCATTTGTTTAATCGATTATTTTTAAATGCAGAACATGATTAATTACTTCGCTGTATGTATAAAAACATTTGAGATAGCTTTATTTTGCTAATAAATTAATATATTTTTAATTGCACTGGAATGGAACCTGTTTCCAGTTACTTCTGTCAAGGGGAATTTCAGTCTAAGTAGCTGATCATGTAGTGTTCTGCATTTTAAATTCTCCAAATAGAAAAATTAAGRATCTCATTAATTGTCTTTTAAGCTATATAATTGCTTAAATTAGCATGAATAAGCAGTAGATAGTCCCCTTGGTGAGCAGAAAGGCACACCAGATTTAATAGGAGGGCTGAATTTAACTGTCAAGAATGGCTCTTCTTAGCTAAAATGTTCTCATTTATTACTACATTAAAATTGACTTCTGAAATGGTCCCTTGGCTACAGACACAGTTCCTGGTATCTTTGGTTGTGTGAAGTAGATACTCTTCTTGCACAGGACTCTGTTTTGATTGGACCAAGACATCTGGAGAGGGACAGAGAGCCCTGGTACAGCTCTTCCTCCTATCCCCTGCCAAATGTAGGGGTTGTGATGGCATCAGAGCCAAGCAGTTGTTCAGAACCATTTACAGCACAATTAGATCTGCCTTAGGCATTTTTTGGTTTCTCTGAGCATTGACCTCAAATGTCTTTCATCTCCTTATGAGAAATAAATTAACTTTTTTTCTTTCTAACTGAGACTTTTCTCAATCTGAATAGGACACATGGCTTTTTTTAAGCTAGGCTTAAAAAAGTGCATTTTGAGACTATGTTGTTAGTACCAGAGGTACCAAACCAGACTGGAGACAAACTAACATCTAGAAAGARACCCATCCAGGCCTTAAGGTGTGTTCTGATTTCTGTTTAGGTGTGTTTGTCCATTGACCATCCYCAGAAGATCCTCCTGATGGGAGAAGCTCTGGATATGGGCACGTGCAAAGCCAGGAAAAAGAACGGTGATCCTTGTACACAGATTGTGAACCTGGTATGTATCTCAGGATATTCCTAAGATGTTGGTGAAAATCTGGCTCCTGATTCTGTACTGGTGCTCTGACTTTTTGAYTTGTTTCTGGATCTTGACTTGCAACTAACTAAAGTGGGTGGAGAAAGTGAGAGATGAAACCCAAAGGAGCTGCTTTTGTGCTGTCACTGCAGCAGTATGGGATTTCCCTAAATGCAAGGCTGGTGATGCAGTGAAAGGATGTGGTCTTGACCCATGACTGCCACACCCTTTCACTCTCCTTTCCTCCAGCACAAGTTCTATGCCCTGCACTAGAGAACTCATCCAGGATAAAACTAGGAGATATTTCTTGGGAATTGTTTTTTTGGCATGGTTTTAACCCAATGAGCTCCCTGGTCCAGTGTGCCTGCAATATTTATACCTCAACGTGGGGCACAGGAGATGAGAAAAAAAGGTGTTGGGATCCTTTTAGGACAGTACTGACTTGTACTAGTTTAAAGGACTTGTGGATTATATCACTTCATGGCTATGGTGATGCTGTGATACCTGAAAGGAACCCTGAGTCAGAAGGATTATAGTTAGTAGAGTAGCACTTAGAAGGAGGAGAAAATATWAAGGAATGAAGAACTGGGGAGGAGCTCAAATTATGTGGAATGGGAAGAACACAAATATAGAAGGTACTTGTAGCTTCTTTGTTGTTGTGACTGCAGACTCCAAGAGGAGCTCATGCATACAGTCCATAAAATTCCATACAATTCAGAGTCAAGAATACATAATCTGGGCAAGAGGTCCTGGGTGGGATATGAGTTGATTCTAAGGAATARCTTTAAAATTCTTTGATGCACAAGGTTGTTTCCAGTGATTAATATAGGCAATTTTAGCTTTGTTTTTCATTGCTCAAGTGTGGGCATGGATTTTCCTTGTTGATCACATGCTGGAGTAGCACAGTAGAGATACTACTTCAGTTTAGCCATAGAAGGGTGCATGTGGGTGAGAAGAATGAAGAAAATTGTAATTACTGGTGTTCTGTAACAGGCTTTTCCCATTTCTTTTCAGCATGACTGTGAATATTGTCAGTATCACATACAAACCCAGTACAAGAAGCTCAGCTCAAAGAGGGCAGATCTGCAGTCCACCTTTTCTGGTGGCCGCATTCCCAAAAGTCGGAAAAATCCCACTTTGAAGGAGAGGCTGTGTCAGGATGGGTTTTACTATGGAGGAGTCTCTTCAGCAGCATATGCAGCCTCAGTGTAAGATAAACCATTTATTTCTCTTGCTTCTGAACAGAATGTCCCTCACATGTACAAGGCAGCCTGAAGCTATATCTAAGGGATTCTATTCCATTAGAGAACCATTTGCCTTAAATGCATTCACCAAATAGGAATAAATGCCCCACACTTGGCATAATCCTACTGGCCACATGGGCAGAGCTGCTCTTTGATTGGAAATTTTTAAGTTGGTACTAAGATGTGTTAAGGGTTTTTTTTACCTCTACATTAATAGTGTGGTGTGAAGCCAGGCAGCTTTCTGTTTCAGTAGATTAATGGACTTTGAGATCAAGAGATGTCAAGCATTCAAGTCTSTGAGATGAGTACTTTTCAGTGTAACTGTATTTTGCTGTGACTTACTGCATTTATTCCCAGAGTCAGGGTATTCTGTATTTCCTCATGCCTTCCTTGGCTGAAATACAGTGTCACTATGGGTTAATGAGGAAACAGGAGTGACCAAGATCAGTGKGCATCTCATAGGGGCCAGGTCTGTTATCCAAATCCCATGAACACAGCTGTGGAAAGATGAGTCACAGCTGGATCCAGCCCTGTGCTTGGACACAGCTTTTATTCCCTTACCACTGCCCTCTGATACCTGGTGTGACTCCACAGTAATGAAACAATTCCAACCTCCTTCCTATCCCTGGARCTACCTGTGAGCAAAGCAAAGCTATGATCTATGTTTAGTTTTCTCTCAATGTATAGGAATAAATATCTCAACACAGGGAGAAAGGGSAGATCTCAACATTATGCTGGAATTTGGATTTAGATCCATATCCCTACCAAAGACAGACAGATGGTCCTTTGGGTGGCTGGAGTTTTGTTGTAGCACTGGGCTAGTATTCAGGCTCCTGTCCTTGCTCTGAGTCTGGGAAAATTCTGATTTTTTTTTTTTTGGATTTGTTTCCTTTCTCTAGTGCAGCAGCTGCTGTGCCAAAAAGGAAGATTCAAACCACTCTCTCCAACCTGGTCGTGAGAGGAGCTGATGCAATTGTCCAGGAAACCAAGCAGAAAATTGGTAACCAATTACCCAAGCAGTCTCTTCACTCTTTAGGTGTTTCCAGCTCAATGTGTAGATGTGTCCCAGGGCCTGCTACTCACTGAATAGCAGTCACTTTGCTGCAGAAATAGTCTTCTACAGACACCTTTCTCAGTTCAAAACTCAGGTCAAAACTCCTCTTCACTCTTGAGATCACAGTTTCAAGGCAATTGTAACTAAGCAATTGTGCAGTTCCATGCATCTTTTTTTCATCAGTGCCCTGAAATTAAGTCTCCTGTTCTGTCTTTGGACAGTGACAGAAGATATTTGCCAGATTAATGGGAATTGGAAGTTTTAAGAACTTTGAACCAGAGGATTTGTTTTATTTGATCAAAATAAATTACTTCTGCCAACCTTGAAAATTTGTAATGAATACTAAGTATAAATCAGTCAGGTCTGCAATGCAGGGGACCTTCTGAGAACCCACATTGTTTCTAGTGCTTTTCTTTTGTGTCAAAATACATTCCTTTTGTAGCCCCTGGGATGTCACCAGTCTTCTCTGCCTCTGCTTTGTTTCTGTARAGCACTTCATATTATGCCTTCTTTATGCTCCTTGGAGAGCAGGTGACAGACTATTCCAGCTGGGTTCTAGATGCCATTTAGATGTTTTACTTACATCTCTCAGTTCCATCAGTTGCCTCCATTTCAGATAACATAGTGTATGTCCATAGAAGCTTTTAGCTGCTCTTAATTCTCCAGGGGTGAAGTGTGGAGGCTTCRGGACTTTCAAGCATCTTAAAAATGGGAATGGTGGGAGTAACACAGCCAGSCAAGGCTRACGAGGAACTGAGTGATGCAGTTTYTGAAGGGATAGAAATRTCTGTRACAAAGGYCAAGACCTTGGGCAACCAAATGTAATGTAAAGGTTGGTCTTGTTTCAGGAAGTACTCAGGTGACCTGTAAGGGTTTTTTTCCAACCTAAACAACTCTACATCTTGAAAGCCAGGCCTGCTTTCCTTCCTTGTTCCAAATCTGTTGTATTTCTGCCTCTTCTGCTCAGGTGCAGCAAAGAGATCMATGCAATGCTCTGAAGAGTTCAGGGAACTGCTGGCACAGCCAACTTTTGGAGCACGAAACCTCAGCAAACACTGGACCAAAGCAGGTATTGTCCTTTGCCTGAAGGAAGACCCACTCCTAAAATCACTCTATCTCCTTCTCAACAAAGTGGCTTTTTATTTTGGTTTGTTCTTTTTTCCCAGATGCTGAAAAGAAGCAAGGGGCTGATTTCCAGCCCATCTCTGCTTCAGCACTGCTCAAGCAACAGAAACAGAAATTGCTGGAGGCCAGAAAAAGGCGATCTGAAGAGATTCAGAGGCGGTAAGWCATGCTGGCTTTCACAGCAAGAGTTCTGTTATTGTGCCCTAAGAATAAYTGTGTTTTCACTTCTTACTTCTCAGCTTCTTGTGATGTCTCTCTCTGATTTTAGCTTTGAAAACAATGGGTCATTCACTCCCTCTGGTGACTTCTTCAAGTCACTCTTGATTTCTGCAACCCATTGACTTCTTTACCAGTCTTGTTTTCCTCTTCTGAATGCCCAAATTGCTGTATGTTTCTTTTAGCAATTAAAGGCCAAATAGGGAAAAATCATAGTCTGCATTCCCTTCTATTTGTTTCTTAAACCTTTCTATCTCTTTGACTTGTGTCCCTAATTGAATGCATTATTCTTGTCTTACAAGGTTTCTCCAGAACACAAGTAAAGTCAGCACTCCTGCCCCATCCTCCTCCAGACAGACCTCCCTCCATTCCCCAGTGCCTGGGGCAGAGTTTCCCAAAGCTGCAAAAATGTCAACRCCTCAAAGGCCCAAACTTGGCACAGGCTTCTCAGAAGGAGAAGATATCCTCTTCTTTGACAAGTCTCCACCTCCAAGGCCAAAGCTAGACAGCTTGGCAGAAGCCAAAAAGGTAYRAGCTCTTTGGATCTTTTTAGTGTTAAAGACAGGTTAAAGGAAATCTGGTTTGTGGCAGTAGAGGAGTTGTTGGTCAGATATGGCCCTGCTCAGTTGTGGTGTTAGTGAAGTTTCTGATTTGTGGGATCACACTGGCCTGTATTCCAGGAAACCTGTGGCTCCTGACAGCTGTTGTTGGTACCAAAGTCCATGCTGCCATCTTTTCCTTGGTCAGTCTCTTAAGGCAAGGGATTTGTGCTGAAGATCCCTGGAATGCTAAACTCTGGCATTGCTAGTGCAGTGTATGGCAGGTGTTTTCTGTTTTACCAGGAAGTAAGCAACTGGTTTAGCTATGTTGTTTCATGAGTTTGGATTATTCTGTTTTATAGCCAGAACAAGACTACATCTTTTCTTGGCAAAAATCTGTTCATTTGTTTGTCAAAGAAATATTTTCAGCTAGAGTGCGTAAATCTTAGAATTCTGGGAGTATGAGAAGGAATACTTGTAAACAATTTTCTATTAGTTTCAAATTATTATCAATTTATGTGGAAATCTCAAGTGACTTGATTTCTCTGAAGAACTTACTGATTTGTGAAGCAGGTAAAGCTCACCTGCAGAGACAGCAGGCCTGGTAACACGTGGAGGAGGGATTTTGTGRTTTGGGAAGTCACGAGAGGTTGGGCGATGCAGTGAATTAGATGTACGGCAGAGCTGGGAATTTTGTTGGGCCTCCAGCCAGCTCCATGCTCAGGCCAGGGGATGTTCTCTCCTCCATTTGACAGCCTTCCTCTGCTGCTTCTGGAAGTAGGAGCATGGAAGCCAGACAAGTCACCCACACTTGCCTTGCTCTTTCTTGTTTTCTAGCTGGCTGCAATACAACGACTGCGAGCAAAAGGCCAAATTCTTCCTAAAACGGACCCAAACAGTGTCAAGAGGAAACGAACTGATGTTGAGGATGTCCTAGAAATTGTTGAAAGAGTTGAGAAAAATGTTGCTCAGCCCCAAGATGCAGACAATGGTATGTACTGTTAGCTTCTAGAACCAATGTGCTTCTATCCTACTGAACAACAGTAGTTGCTGGGTTAAGAACTTAATTGCTGTGCTAAAGAGAGGCCAAGTTAGGTCTGTTTGGAACTTCAAGGATTTGTTGCAAAGACTAAAAATCTAACGCTGCAGAGGAAGTGTGAGAAGTAATCTCTGATAGCTCCCTGTCCTCATCTCTGTTCCCTTTCTTCTGGCACTTGAAGCATCTGCAGTGCATGGCTGACTTCATCAAGGGAAACCAAGAACTAATCCCACCTGGGAAGTATCTGAATTATTTGTGGGAACTTGAGTTTGCCTGCTGGTGATTTACTGTGTGATCTTGGATAAATTGTTTAATTCCCTTTTAAGTTTCTTCATCAATCAGTGGTGGAACACTGCTTGCATTCCTGGGAGTAATGTGAAAATTCCTAGTACAGTGCTTTGAGAGAAGATGCAATGTTATTTTTAAAAATGCTTTTTTTTTTTTTTTTTCTGAAACCATATTTGAACTTGTTTTCATGTTCCCCAAACTATGAAAGTCTGCTGTTTGACCTGAACATCTGCCTGAGAGACCTGAAACTTCCAAAATCTCCTGCAATGATCAAGTTCAGAGATCACAGCCTTGTTTTGTAGGACTGAGCCTTTTTTTCTCCCTAGGAATGGATGAACTGGARCCTGCCCAAAAGAAACGGCGTGAGCAGCTGGCCTATCTGGAGTCAGAAGAGTTTCAGAAAATCCTGAAAGCCAAATCCAAGCACACAGATGTCCTGAAAGAGGTAAGGCACCATCCAGCTGTGACTTAGGGCTTAGAACTAGGGAGCTGACTGGACTCCTCATGATTTCAGCACCCAAACATGTCATGGGCTCCAAACTGTCCTGAGGAGTAGGGCTGGGTGTCTCTGGGCACACAGGGCACAGTGCCTGCAAGTCAGCACTGTTGTCATAGACACGGTAAGATCAAGTTGCCAGTTSCCATCAGTTTTTTTGCTGTTTGGAAGAATCAATGAAGTTTCCTGATTGATGAATAATCAAAGAAATCCCTCTGCCTTAAAATCAAATGAGCCACATGCCTATTTTATCCCTCATTACTCAGTCACATAAAACCAGTTGCCACTTTCATGTGTGACTCCTGTCAGCTGTGAAATGCCAGCAGRTGCCCTGAAGAGCTGAGAGTTTCTCACATGGGGGTCTCTACTGAACATATTCCCAGGAATACAGCACCTCCAGTGGCAAAGGGCACCCACTCATCTTGGACACTTATTGGTGTGAAGTCACAGTTGTTTTAAGGTTGTCTGAGGAGTAATATTTTGGCTAAGAACCAATTCCATTCATTAAATYTGCCTACCTGACCTCTCTCTGCACTGTCCTCGTGGGTATGTGTTTATTTCAGTACTTCCATCTGTTGTTWAACCCTCCCGCTTGTACATCTCAGAGGTGGCTCGTTTCAGTGCTGGTGAACTACAGCATGTGTACAACATGAATTGTTGGAAGCAAGACAGATGTGGTGTTTCTCTGCTCCCAGACTGCAGTCTGCTTTAAGCAGGCCTGGCAGTAATTTGCTTTTAGGCCATTTATGGAAGGGCTTCTCCCCTCTGTGTCCTCACAACTGATTTTGTGTGCCCCACAGGCTGAGGCTGAACTGCAGGAGAAATACTTTCAGCCCCTGGTGAAAAAGGAAGAACTGGAAGAGAAGATGAGGAACATTAAAGCAGTGAAATGCCGAGTTGTGACATGTAAAACGGTGAGTGAAGGGGAGCCAGGGGAACAGCAGGGCAGTAGAACATGGATTCTACAAAATGGTGCTGGACTATCCTGCAGACTCCCATCTGTCACTCTATTGGCCATGGTCCAGTGCAGGGATTGATGGAGACAGTTTTGTTCCTTCTGCCTGTTGCTGAGAGCAGCCTGTGCACAGTGACTGAGACATGGCAAGGCAGGCTTTAGTGCTGTGCTGAGCATCTCAGCTCAATGCTTGTGCCAGGGGTTCCGTGGGTRTTGCTGTCCCGAATTTCTCAAGTTTCTTCCATGAAGTGCTTTGTACCAGGACCCTCAGTTCCCCATATTTCATGACAAAATAAGCAAGGTCCTTGAAAACTTTAACACTGTGTGGGAATCATCTATCTGCATTTCCAGGGACTTTGCCATCAGGAAGTGAGTGGAGCTTTATGATTGTCCCAAGTGAATGAGAGGAAGTGGAGCATTACCTCCCATTTCCAAAGTTTCAACTCCTGCTGAAGTTTTCCTCTTGCTGCCTTCCCTACCCGTTTTGGGGCTGTGCAGAGGGACACTGTGTGCCCCATTGGGTGCTGGGAGCAGGGCCACAGGGTGGTGGCAAAGCAAGGATGGCATTAGAAGGAGCAGTGACACAGCCTGGGCAGGTGGTCCAACTGCTGTGCTTCTCAGGATGGGAGAGGACAGGGATGCTTTCCTCTGACCATTCAGCTGTTGCCAGTCATCAGAACAGGTCTCACATGCTGGTGAAGCACTCACAGCTCTCTCTTCTCCCTGACAGTGTAATTACACCTATTTCAAGCCTCTGGAGACGTGTGTGCAGGATAACCATGACTATCTTTGGCATGATGCCATCAAGAGATTTTTYAAATGTCCTTGTGGAAGCAGAGCTATTTCACTTGACAGGCTCCCAAAAAAGCCCTGCAGGTAAGGAATCAGCTGAGGTCATAAAATTGTGACTGGGGCTTTGGTAGTGTCCCTTCACAAGTAAAAYGTTGAGAGTCACATAACCATGCCCTAAAATGGGAATGTTAGTCCTTGTGCCAGGGAGCATGGGCTGGGTGTGGGGCTAGTTTAGGATCCCCTCATACTGTGCAGCAAACACACCACAGTGGTCCTCACCTGCCATCTTCATCTTTCAGTACCTGTGGCCTTTTCAAGTGGGAGCGAGAYGGGATGCTGAAGGTAAGTGTGAGCCAGCAGGTCTGAGCACCTCAGCAYTCCAGCTGCTTCCTGTGGTATTTTTTTCCCCCTCTTTGATTCTGTGCCCTTACAAGCTCCCAGCAAAGCCAAGCAGCTCTGCATTTTGTCAGGTACATACAGGTGCCTGCAGGCTGTGTTTTAGTGGAGTTCCACTTTTTGCTTTCTCTTCTCAAAGCTTTGTTTTATTTAACTGTGGAGAAATGGCTTTTGAACAAAGTTGTAAGAATTCAGAATGTCAAGGTCCCTAGAGGATCTTTCAGTATTTAATCAGGTAATCTAGCCCTAGCACAACTTCTGTCAGAGAAGTGTTTGGGAGGCATCTACCACATGTTTAACTTCTTTTCTCCATGGTTTGTATTTCCAGGAGAARAAAGGTCCGAAGATTGGTGGAGAAACGCTTTTACCAAGAGGAGAGGAACAACCAAAGTTTCTCAATAGTCTTAAGTGACCTGGAGTTGATTTTTTTCACAAGGGTGGATTTCTGTGTCTGAAACACACATTTATACTGGACTGCCAAGATTCAGGTTTTAGGGATGAATCRGTAGGGGAATCAGTTCTTGATGAAAAGGACATCCACCAAGTGTACACCAGGCCACCACTGCACGCATATTGAACTTCAATCTTTTTTTAATTGACTGAATAAGGCTGCATGTGAAATGCACATTCATGCCTGTTCTTTCCAACTAACAACAGAAGAATGACCTCACCAGACTTTTAAGTGACAAATCATCATGAATGGGAATGACTGTATATTCCATAAGCACTTATGAAATCAATACTGTGATATGTTCATGCCAACCTGTCCCGTTCCTTAGCTCTTGAACAGAAAGGAGTGTGAGAGGGTTGTAGGTACAGAGCATTCTCCATTGGCTTTGAAATCACTCTGAACCCTTAGGAACAGATGTCTTGAGTTTTTCCTTGGCTCACCTGTTAAAAAGCCCTTCCACGGCTTTGGCATTGCAAGCCAGCAGTGTTTATGCTGCAAACTCAGAGCTCCCTGTCCCCAGCACCATCCACACTACAGCGTTCTTGTGACTACAGACCTGCAGCTCCCACTTTGAAAAGCATTTTAATGAATCTGGCACTATTTTGTGAGTAGTTTTATAGAGCTGAGTGATTATATTTAAAAGCTTTTACCCTTCTTTTGACATTTAAAATAGGAACAGTAGCTTTCTCAGACTGAGCAGGATGAGCTCTCCCTCCAAGAGGGTGCTGTGGAGAAATCTTGTCTCCATACAGGCATTGTTCAGAAAGCACATTCTYTAGGGATGCCTGGAGCCTTTAATCAGCTTTTCCTGGACCTGAGCCTTTTCCTGCCTGTAGCTCATGCCCAGCAGGAYCACAGGATATTTTTAAGTGCCTAAAAGCACTCTCACCTCTGTGATTTGAAGTGCCATCAGCTGTCTCACGTATCCCACTGGTGAGGCATCACAAACTGCCAATGCCTCTTGTTTGTTTGCACAGGGGCTGGAAGAGATGGAAGTTACTTCATTTGAAGCAGCTGGACAGATTCACCTCAGCATTCTGCAGCCCTCATCTTTTACTGGTGCTTTTTTTGGTGCCACTTGGCCTCTTGCATTCATTTCAGTCTCATATGGGTACCATTTGCTGAGTGGGGACTGAATCAGTAACTGATATTGCTTGGAAACATCTGTGGATTCCTCATTCAGAATAAATAGAATGCAAAATAAAACAGTCCCTGGGTCTGCACGGTATTTCTCTGAGGAAGAGTTGCTTCCTCAACACCTTTGTTTGCCCATGAGCTCAGTGCTGAATCACCACAAAGAACTGGTTTGTGGTCTGTAACTTCTGCTTACACAATTTGCTCATTCAGACTGAACAGGAGTTTCTCACCTGAASTCCACAAAACCATCATGAAATTCCATGTTGGTATCAGCCTTCAGCTGGCACGTTGAAAGCTTCAGCCTTTCTCCAATTCTTGTCTCTTGGGCCAAAGGAAAGGAGATTCTACAGAAATTAAATAGTCAAAGGAGGGTTAATACTTTATATTCATAAATGTGCCCAGGACTGGGATGTGTAAGACCTGTATCTCTGTGGGAGTGAAAGCAATGCATGTATGCAAAAATAGGTGAAGAAACCAAACCAGTTGCTTCACTTAAGCTCTAGCAGTAAACAAGGAGTGGGGGAGATGGATGTATTGGAATTTATGTGCCTCACTACTTTTTGAGATATTTGTCTTGTGACAGACATTGCACTACCACCCTGATTCCTGAACACTTGGCTCTAACAGGAAAGCTGGGATCAGGATGGTCACAGCAAGGAGGTGAAGAGGTACTGGCAGGTGTTTTGCTCAGAGCTGTCTCCAAAATGGGTTTAGCCCAAACATTGTGCAGGACCAGCAGTGACTGCATTTTTGGGTGGCTCAGCTGCAGCACCTTGATGTTTTCCTCAGACCCAGCACCTGCCTCTCCTGAGTTCACTTTGGTTATTCAGCCACACATGCAACAGCAGAATTTCTGAACCACAGAAATAATCTAGTGCAGCCTCTAAAGTTGGATTTGCTACAATTTAATCTTTATTTCAAAAATAAAAATCCCTATCTCCATCAGCACTTCAAATGATTTCCCATGTGTACTCATACTGATTCACTGGTTGATTTTGCACAAAAAAAAGGTTGTTAAAAACCTTGAAAACATAATCACACATAAAATTTTATATTAATATGGTTTTACCTAACTGTATTGTTAATAACCTTACATTAATAGAGTATCAGCCCAAAAGTATATCGAGAGAGACTAGAAAAAATCAAGTAATGCACAAGTCATCATAATCTTTCTTTGATCACCTAAASTAGCTACAGCAATCTGGTTTTGTAGGTCAGGTTTTCTTTGAAGTCCATCAGTTGTTCAGCCTTGCCGTACGTATTTTGTATTGGCATGAAATGCTGTTGTAATGCAGCATTTGGGGCAAGTTCCTTACACAAGGGGCAAAAAGCACATGATTCTGGCTCCTCAGAAGCTGATGTTCAGGCACAGGTTTTCTGTCCTGGCTTTTACAGGTCATTTTAAAGCTTGATTCTTGTTCCTTGCTCTGTCTTTGCTCATTTCTTCCCAACGACTCATTTAAAAACCCCACAAAATGTCAACAACAAACCTAGAAAACACCATCTTTGAATATGATATTTCCTGCTTGTTCCTGGTATGAACTCATCTGTTTGGCCATAAAAACACTCATCAATTTACTGTCTGAAGTTTCAAATAGAAAAGTACAGACAACACTAAATTAAATTAAAAGCTACAAGCTCCAATGCACAAAACCCTGCTTGGCATAAGCCAAAAGCTCAGTGGGTTGATGTGGTGAGCAGAGAAGGCATTCAGATGGGTGTTTTATAAATGATCTTCTCTTCTTGTAAATCCAGTTGTAGAAGGATTGAATAACAGCCTCTCTTACCTAAATACCTGCTGCCACAAGCTTGTCCTGCCTGGGTTGATTTGCACTGAAAAGACAGCAAAGAATGTGCAAGAAATCAATTTTGGCAGCCCAGAAGTAGGAATGGTGATGAGTAGAGCTGGAGGAGGAATTTGCAGAGCTCCTGGGCTGATTTCCAGGGATGCRAAGGGGCTGTCTGGAGCAAGGGCACTCCTCCAGCACAGGCAAGCAGCAAGAAGCCTTATCAGCAAAAAGGCCAAAATTACTTGTGAGTTACAAGATAAGGTAGTGATTTAAGATTAGCACAAGGTCTGGACCAGAAGCCATTTTATATTTTGCATGTCCAAATTCAATTASTTCTTTCTCCAGCTGCTCTTGGATCATATTCTTAACATCACTGTAGTAGCACTCTAAACTGGTGAGGTGACAGCTGTGTGAGGACACTGGGCATCACTCACTGCCACTTTTGATTACAAATGACTGCTGGAAAAGGATCTCCCGCATCCCAGATCAGCTTATAGAGTCAAATCTACTTTGAAAAAACTGTAATGTAGTCAATTAAACTTCCTTTTCCCACTATTTCTCTTGCATGAAGTAAGACTTTGATCTACAGCACTACAAGCCAAAACCAGGATTCAAAATCCTTTGGCACMTAACCAGTGTGTTCATATCAAAGCRCTGAGCATGCAACCGCTGTCAGCAAGGTCAGGAGTCAGACTAAATCTGACATTTCTGAACTGTTAGTCTGGAAAATAGCACATAAATTCTAAGCAAAAGATCTCCTGTGTTTATTGTCTTTTACCAAGCTCCAGGAAGCCTTTGTTTTCAACACATGTGAAATGTCAAGGCAAAAAAAAAAAAAAAATGTCTGAAACACTGGGGCTTCGTGCAACTGCAGATGGTTAAATAAGCAGCCAGCTGTCTATAATTTTTACACGTTCCTTTTCGAAACCTGGATGCTGATACCAAAAAAAAAAAAAAGTCCAAGGATGGCTAACCTAAATTGCATGAACATTAAGTTAGTTGGAAAGAAAGTTTTAGATGGAACATGCTTTACATCAATTTAGGGTGAGTACACACCAATGAGCACACATGTACCTCCAAYATGTGAACCTGAACACCTACAGCAAACCAAATTATAAGAAAYATATTCCAAGCYACAGCTAAACTAAAACACACTATTATCAAAATAACTTAATAGATTTTGCTTTTAATTTGATTCAATTCAAGCAACTTTTCCAAAAGGATAAGTGCTACTTCACTAAAATACACAGCAACCCAAGCATGTCAACACCTTCTGCATTTCTCTATCTCTGGAGCTCTGCCTAATGGATCTGGAAGTTATTTCTCAAAAATGTTATTGCTACAGAGAAGGTATCCAATAACACCACACACATCCATGCTGGGAAAATCCAGCTTCATCCAAGTGTGTTCTGCCCAGCAGAGTGAGCACAGCCTGCCCCAGAGRGTGCTTACCACACAAGGTGTAGGAAGGAGTGGGAACACAAGTGTCTCATCAAGTGGGACAACTGCTGAGTTTAGAGAATCTCTGAGGTCTTTGATAAGTCTGTTCTTCTGAAAGAGGGAATTGAAGCCTAAATCCATAGGCAGCTTTTAAAAACAAAAGTCCAAAAACAAATTTTTTAAAAACAAAGCTAAACTTCTTCCTTTTCTTCTCTCTCCCAGCAGCAGTAAGAGAAATTCAGTCTTGAAACTGGGAATGTGACACCTGTAGCTCTTCTCTGTGGTCACAGCTCCCTCTGCAGTCAGCCCAGCTGCACCAGTGATGCCACACAGGGAAGTCTCTCCATGAATCCTTGCTGGGAACCAGACAGAAAACACAAAGTTCTCACAAAAAATCTCACTGAAAGCACCAACTAGGCTATGAGCCAGAGCTCAGCAAAGTCAGCACAGGGATCTCCAACTCACTGTAAATCATTCACCATGCTCTCCCCAGGACCTGGATCAGTGCCAGGGCTATAGAGGGAATGGCAGAGATGCAGGAACCAGGGCACCCAAAATCACCCACTGAGCAGGGCTGGAGGTCAGTCCTGTGTCCCCTCATCAGCCTTCTTGGTGTTGTGGTCAAACCACAACAGAGGCTGCWGAGAGGGTATGTCTGTCTCCAGGTGGGGACCACAGCCCAGACACCTCACTCCAGCACCAAAGGTGTAGGACCAGTAACTGTGCTCAAACCTCACCTTACTTAATAAGCAAACAAACAAACAAACAAGAAGATGCTGCAGGAAGAGGAAGAATCATGAAACCAGGCAAAAGGTGCCACAAGAGCCCATGAACACAGCCTTTGGTGTTGTTTTGACACCTTTTTGGGGTGGACTGGGGCAGTGGAAAAGAGCCTAGGATTGATGCTTTGTACTGTGGTACTCAATGACAACCCCACATCCAGTTTCTGGGCAGCAGAAATGACACAACACAGTCCTAAAGTGCAGTTTCTCTCTGATTGACTCTTTATTTCAAAAAAGAAAGCAAAAGAATCTTTCAGAAAGCAAGAAAAAACATTGTGAAAAGCAAGAGGATCATTTCAATGTGCGTCAYTCCACCCTGCCACCACTGCATCCTGGGGAGCATCCAAACACCTTGACCTGGCAGCAGCAAAAGGCAKCTATTCCCAGACCTGCCAGACTCAAAGGATTCCCTCACTTCACACAGCCTTGGTTCAGTTGTGCAAGGCCAGTGGGAAGCTGTTCTGTTGGCTCAGTAGCTCCCAACACCCTCAGACTCATGTTCTACCTGTGCCAGAGCTGCTTGGTCAGGTAGATGCCACAATGCCACACCAAGCCATGCCTGAGGAACTCTACCAGCAATCATATTCCTCCTCCTAAATCCTATTTTTCTCTGTGAGTGGTTGCTGCTTTCTCTTTATCCACTCCCTTAGACAGTTGACTCTGCTGGTACCAATACCCACATCTTCATCAGCTACACCAGCAACTCTATGTCACTGAGGGCTTGTTTGAAACTCTGATTTTTTTTTTATTTTTTTCTTTTTTTTCATAGGAAAGGGAGTTGGAAATTCCAGAAAATCTTGCATAAAATCTTACATTGTTAAGCATATTTCTAAAGATGTGTAATGTGAGAAACTTTTAAGAAAGAATGAAAACACCAAGAAAATCAAGGTGCTCTTTCAAGACCTTAATTCTTCAATTGTCTAAGACACCCACAGCAAATCTGTTTTTCTAGGTTAGGTTTCCTTTGATGTACATCAGCTGACCAACCTCAGTGCAATTATTCTGAATTAGCATAAAACGATTTTGCGATGCAGCATTTGGCTAAGTTACCATTACAGAGGTCAACAAAGCACAGGAAATTCAGCCTGCTCAGGCAGGGTCTGTGCTCTACCCTCAGAGAAGCTCATTCTCAGRCCTGTGTTTTCCATCCTGCTCTTCACAGGGTCTTCTACAGGTTAATTCTTTCCCCTTGCACAAGCCGTGCTCGGAAGTTCCAAATATCCTTCAAAACAAAAATGAGACAAAGGAAAAGCTTTGAGGGCCAGAAAAAACAGTGACCAGGATTCCAGTTTACACAGATAGAAACAAAGGATTACTTAGTTCTTATCATCTTGTGAAGGTGAAACAGGAGCTGGGCACACCTTTGGGAGAAAACTCTGACTCTGGTTAAAAAAATCCTTAAGGCTACATGAAAGCTCAGAGACTTCTCTAAGGTTTGTATGGACAGCCTCATTTCCACTCAGGAGAAGGAGAGAGCCTCACTACACGTCCCATTGGAGTTCACCATGCACCTAAACAACCCCAGGAACCAAAAGCCAAGCAAGCTGTAACTTCACAGACATGTAAGATCAGGCTTGCAAAACACAGCCAGGTATCCCACCACATCCAGGCACACTGGGGGCAAAACAGGCAGAAGAAGACAAAAAATCCAAACATGAATAAAGTCCTTTCCTCCAGGAAGCCCCAGATATTGTAAAACATGTCCATTAAAATAAATGTTGCCTATTACATCTTTACTGCTTTGATACTGGCTGTGCACATGCTTGGGAACCACTGCAGATTAAGAAATTCAGAAAGAACATTTTCACCCCAGTAACAAGGTTTATTTTTCTTTCAGTGGCTGGACCTCTGAAGAATTTACATTTGCTTTCTATTTTACTCAATGGTCTCAGTTATTCAGCAAGAGTCCATTAGTCCTTTTTTTTTTTTTGACATAGATGTTATCTATGTGGACACACCTGCTATAGCCTCGAGTCTAAATAACTGATGTGGGATTATATTTAACAAAAAAAATCTGTCAGGTATTGCAATSAGATGTGGCTACTTGTTTTAAAAGGAAAAYCCACCCACAGTYAGGAGGGGAAACTCCAAGAACTGTRGACATACAAAGKGGACACGCAYTGAATTTATTCCARCTTCTCATACTTTTGAATTTGGAGCAAATTACTACATCTTTTTATTTACAAGCAGAGCTTCAGGAGGAATTTCTGGAGCTCATGAGATGTGAAGAGGCTGCTGGAGAACAAGGCATTATGAGTAAAAAGACCCCAAAAATACCTGCCAGTCATCCACTGAATATCAAGTCTTTTATCCTGCCAAGCACCTCTGCTTGGTACAGCATGATCTGCCAAACTGGGCACAGCAAAGAGCACCAATCTGCCACACGAGACTTGGGAAAGGGAACAGACCTGGTTTGTAACTAAGGGCACTGAGCCAAGTCTTACCTTGAGCTCCACAGAAATTGAATTGTATTTCTTGCGAACCATTTCCTCCARCTCCTTCTCCAGGTGCTCCTGAGTCGTGTTCTTGACATCAATGTAGTGACAGTCAGAGCTGGCGAAGTGGCAGCTGATGCTCTGTGTGAGGAAACAGCATCACTCACTGTCACTGACTACAAACAACTGCTGGAAAAAAAAACTTGTGCATTCCAGACTGTGGACACATCACTCCTTCCTTACAGATCATGTCAGCAAATCCTTCCTCCTYTCCAAGTGCTCCTGAGAATGTCCCCTTGGAGAAATACTCTTGCTGCTGACATGCTCTTCTTGCTTCCCTTCTCTCCCTCACTCCCTCAGCATGAGCTGTACTATTTGATCTCAAAATATCAGCAACTCAAGTGGGAATAGGGAAAGTCAGGGCTTGAACAGACCTGTGTGTTCTGTAAGGGTTCTTAGCTCCTGCACCCAGAGGGTCACAACCCACTTATTTTGAATCCACCAATTAACTGCCACAGGGGCTGGAAGAACARCCACACAACAAACAAACCAAAATAAAAACAGAGCAGCAAGTGCTGCAGTGCCTGGATGAATCCCTTCTGAGACAGGACCAGGCCTCAGAAGGCCTCCAAAGTGTTTGTGTCAGTTAAATAACCATGCCATGTAAACAAATCTTTTACAGAAAAATGGATTGTGCAATCATATRAATATTATTTACTGAATGATGGAAACTCCTGTTATCCAGAGATGGGACACCAAGAGGACAGGGCAGAAAGTTAGAGAAGGTCCTGATATTTGGGACAGCTCAAAGGGAGCTACTGGAAAAGCAAGAACAGCCAGACAGGCTTCAAACACAGATTCAACATCTAACTGCTACTCCTGYTCTGTTTTTCTCAAGCAGCTGCATAGCATGCTCTTCTCACAGAAGACAGGTTYAAAGATAAAATAATAAAAAAGCAAGGAAGTGCAGTGTTCTAGGAAGATAAAAACTCATTAAAACATTCAYCCACATATTCATGAACTTGGAAAGGATTTGAAGGGGGTGGGGATAAAAATAGGGAGATAGTTTGATAATTGTTTTTTTAAATCAAGAATCTAAAAAACTGTATCAAGAGATATKTTCCCACCTTTCTGAAACCTGATGTCCTGTTTATCCCAGAGCCATGAATGAGCAGGGGATGGAAGAACACTGTGTCTCCYTTCTCCATGACAAGGTGAACCTTGGGAATCTTATCATCCTCTTCAAGCAGCCCATGGAAAAGTTTGTTTGTTTTACCCTAGGAAAGCAAAAGGCTCAATTGAAATCATTTAGCTAAAATTAGAGGAAGTGCTRATTCTCAGAGCAGAGTAGGGCAGTAGGGACAGCTAGGATCTGCTTTTCCCTGGACAGAGTATTCCATATGACAAGCTAAAAGTCTGACTATTGCCTACTAGTCCTACTCCAAGCYTGAGGTACAGAAAAATGATACTTCCTGTATTTTCTGCAGCTGGATTTGGACAATTAAGAACATTTCTCAGCTGGAGAGAACAGAGAAGAGCACTGGGGAATCCCACAAGCATGGCCTGAYGCCACTGCTGGAGTGCAGCCCTCTGCTCCCAGTGTAATCATCACCAATGACAGGCCAGGCCAGGAAACRCCCACCCTTAAGAGGAAGATACCACTTGATATTTTACTCCATCCAGCTGTTTACTATCAAATTTCTCCTCTTTGGGACAGTACACATGCTAGTAGGCAGGAACAAGYTGACAGGAGGAGGCAGAGTCCTCAGACTTGGCAAGGGCAGTGGAAAATTGTGGCATGTGTTTACGCTGTCATGCTATGACGTTSTGGACATTTTCTAGGTGAAGGTAGGAACAGAGGCAAATCTATCTAGGTCACAGAGAGGGAGGTCACCTAAGAAACTCTCTCCCAAATCAATGTCAGTATCTGCATAAATGAAAAAAAAAAATCTGAAAACCTCAGCTTTGATCTGCATATCCTCTCCCCCAGAATGAGCCCTTCCCAGCCAAAACACATCTCCTTCCTGCATGCCCTTCCCAAGCCCTCCATGACACCTTACCTCCAACTCTGGATAACCATGAGGCTTCAGGGTTGTCTTGTGTGTCCCTGGCTGMACGACCAGGCAGCCATTATCCTCGTGAGCCCGCTCCATGGCGGTCCAGGCACACACAATGCGGGACGCAGGCCGGAACGGGAAATAGTGCAGGTCCTGGTGCATGGGGTGCAGGAAAGTCTGTTTGTCTGCAACACAGGTTCAGAAACCTTCAGCCTCAACAAATGGGACACAGCCTTTTTCTTCCTGTTAAACCACTGCAGCACATCCTAAGGAGCTGCTGCTTCCCACTGGAGACACTTGSTGTACTCAGTGCCTGCTCCAGCCCAGCGCTGGAAGCCAAGCAGGTGAGCTGCCACCCCACCCCAAAACAGACCATGGTGGTGGCTCTTTGGTCAGCAATGGCACGGGGACACAGTGAAAGCCAGGAGGCTGCTCAGCTCTGTGACCCCTCAAAAGGCTCCATTTGCTGGCTTTCACCACCACCAGCCCCTCGTTTTCACCATTCATTTTGGCTGCTCTCCAGTTTTGAGAACTTTAATCTGCACACTGTTGCACAAACCTCCCCCAGCACACAGACCTTCCAACAGGTACTGGATGTACTGCCATGATGCAAGCAGAATCAACCCTGGCTGTGCTGCACTCAGCTCATGTTTATTTAGCTTTCTCTTTAAAAAAAAAGGGGAAAAAAAATCTCAATTTATGGACTGCAGCRTCCCCAGAGAGTCTCTACCCTAGAGGCTCTCTTCCATGAAGTCTAAACAAAAATAAATATTCTTGAAGTTTTGTTTGTTATTTCTTTTCCCCCCATGGAAATGGAAACATCCTCCACACCAAAACAGCCTTTTATATATGATTTATATACTTATTTTGCCATCGATTTTGCTCCTTAAATAKATACAGTTAGGATATTTCCACTTGCCTCATTTGCCATACTATTTAGACTTTGTGCAGCCTTAAAAACTCTCCTGAGTTTTCTCATGTTATCTCATTAAGCCAAGGTAAAAAGAAAACAAACTATTACCAAAATGGCTTTGTAAATTTGCGAAGTTATTTGGGGTTTTTTTTTTCTAAAACACTAAGTCCAAATCTTGCATACACACAATAATTTACCTATTTTCCCATAATCCAAGTTTTCCTTACCAGAATCTGGAAGTTTATTTATCAGCATGGTGTGCATTGCCATGATGTTTGGCCCTGTGAAGCACTCAACGTATTTGAGGACCTACAGGGAAGAAAACATCAGGAAAAAAAATTAGAAACATGAAAAACATGAGGAAATATTCCTGAGGAAGCACAGGGAGCTGGATGTTTGGCTGAGGAGTAGKGTACACGAGGAGGAGGTGGGGGAAGATGGAGGGATGCAGGACAGGAGGCAGATCTGGCATGGCACAAAAATGGGAATGGTGGGAGGCCAAGAGGCAAGATGGTGCAGCAGGCTGCCAAGAGGGGTGGAAAAAATGGGGAGGGTACTCCCTTAGAGATATGGCCATCTGCTACAYGAATATTGTCTGCAAGGCTGGACCTGCCCAGGGAGAGATGTTTGCCTGGATAAAACACATCCAGAACACGTTGCTGATCTGTCYCTGTGGYAYRGYTTGGCCAAGCCACAATCCTAACTGRCTCCACACCAGGGACAGAGCAGCACTGCTTTAAGTCTTCTGTCCTGACCGCCATCCATCCCATGTTCATGCAGRATACTCTTAAAAGATGGCTTGATCTTCCTTCCTCACTTGTGTGCTTATGTGGAGTGACCTTTAGGGTCAGACACATTCATACAGGCACTTGCACCACTACCCCCCTTTCTGATGGGATTTTACTTTGTTTTACCTCAGGCAGAGTGCAGTATCTGAACAGCTCTTCATCTTCCTGGAAGTCCTGCACTTTATTAACCACTTTTTCAGAYTGACCAAACTGGGATCTCAGAGATTCATTTTTCATAATCATAACTCCTGGTGGCTTCACCTCTCTTTTACAAATCCTCGTGAACTCCTTCCTGCAAAGCAAAGGGAACATCCATGTTGGGAGAATCCAGCTATCTCCAGCTTCCCAGAGCTCACTTGGGATGCTGCTGCAAACACCCCCCATCCCAGCACCTCAGGCAAGTGCCCTGTACCTGAAGCGCTCAATGTCCTCATCAGAAACAAGCTTCTTGATGAGCAGGTAYCCATTGTCTTCGTAGAACTGCCTCTGCTCTGTGGTCAGGAGATTGTTGTCCAGGGTGTAGCTGGGACAGAGAGCAGGGACACGTTAACAGTGTCTACTGATCAACACGTGTGCTTGGGGGAAAAAAGAATCGAGCTCTGAGGGCTGCTTTGATCTCTACCAAGGAAGATGGAGCTTACCGAAACCTCCCTGAATGAGGAACAACACTGACTTGGGCTGAAGTAGGAACRCTTATCTGGGATGGAAATTAAGRAATATACAATWGAGCAAAATAGATTAGAACATTATCTACAAGCATGAGTCCTCGATCCTGCAATGYTGTTCAGGTTAAAGGCAGGGGCTGTGCTGGACACTCAATTCATGTTCTTGTTTATTTTGCTTCTAAAATAATAAAAAWTTAAAAATTTGACACATGCAAAAACGTTTGGAAAAAAATGACGAGCCAGGAGGAAACTGAATGRAAGAYAGACAGAAGGAGAACATGGGGAGASCAGCTGGCAACTGCCAGAGCAGGTCCCAGAGCAAGAAATCCCTGAACTGAGGGCACTAATGCTCCACACACTACATTTCAGACCCAATTTCAGTGAAAATGGGACTCGTGACCATTCAGGCTCCTAAATGTCCACAAGAGCTGATGGACACACAGGCCCTGGCAGAACCCCATTTGTGATCCCCTCCTCARCATSTCCACTTTCCAGAWTGGGGGACAGCAGACAAGACTCCYTTTCAGCAYCTTCCTCCCAGGMTYTGCTTCCTCTCACTGGTTTTGYTCTTGACACTGCAACACTCAAAAGAAAAGTATGGGTTGCTTGGACAACTGAAACCAAGATGCACAGAGATTAAAACAGAACCAGTGAATTGATGTACAAAATATCAAATAAATCTATTCTTATTMGATTCTGACATTTACTTTATCCACACACCTTTCTTGCTCCATCCCAGCTTAATCATGTTTTTGTCCAAAGCTATTTGCATCAAGACCTGGATTTAAAAACAAACAGCTTGTGCACCACCTCTCCTTACTTCCTCCATCTTAACAACCAGGGTGTTTTTCAGAGCATTTATTTCTAATTTCGTGGTCCTACTTGTGTTGTGGCAGTCTGATTCAACAACCATCCATCTGTCTTCATATTTTTAATTGATTTGAAAACTCCCACATCCTGTTTGATCACATCCTCTTCTATTTATTATAATTCAGAGGTAACTTGTCAGCATTCTGCTCTGTGAAACAGCAGTTTTGGTTTTAAAGCAGTAATTATGACAGAAGCCTTAAAAATACTCTCACCAAGCAGTCTCCACTAAACTTCAAACCACTGGACAGATCAACCCTGGTTTGATTTCCCAGATTTCTACCCTGGTTCCCTTTGCCTGACGTTGGCAGCCTCAAACACTTCCACCTCAGTTGCCACTCACAAACCAAACCTTGATGTTTTTCCTCCTCCTGCCCTACCAGCTGAGTCTGTACTTTCAACGAAGTCTGACTTGCTGTGCAACTTTTAAGTCATCCATAGTTTATCGCCCCCAACCCTTTGAATGCCTAGGAAGAAAAACTCGCTGCAGGGAACCCCCTGGGTTCAGTCAATGCAGGGGGAGCTGTGCTGGGGAGCTGCCAAGATGCACATCCCAGCTCCCCACAGGTTTCAGGGCTGAAGCTCAGGGAGAAGTTTAAATTCCAGCCGGGGCTGCCAGGGAAGCGCTACCCTCGGCACCAGGACACAGGGCAGGATTCGCCCTGTGTGTGTTTCCCGAGCCTTGCAGGACAAACCACGGATTCACAAGGGCGAGGGGAGCGAGAGTCAAAGCGCGCCGGGCTGGGGGAAGCGGAGCCCCGACCCCAAGGGGGCCAAGGTGCTGCTGCCTCCCCTTCCGATCCCACAGCAGAAAGGATACAGGAGCCGGGGCTGCTCCCAGCCGCGGGGACAGGTGCCGCAGGATGGTGTCCAGCCGGGCCGCTGAGCGCTCCCCGAGCCGCTCCCCGAACCGCTCCATGGCGCCCGGGCTGTCCCTGCGCTGTCCCGGCCTGGGCGGAGCCGTGGCCGCCGCATGCTCAGAGCCCGAGCGCCCTCAGAGCCCCGGGTCAGCCACGGGACGGCGGGGGGAAGGGCCTGAGGGAAGCTGGGCGGACGGGAGCGCCCTCAGAGCCCGGATCCCGCCGGGAGTCCCCTCAGAGCCCGGATCCCGCCTGGAGCCGCGCTCGGGTGGGCAGCGTGAGGGGGCCATGGCGGATCTGAGCGCCCTCAGAGCCCGGATCCCGCCGGGAGTCCCCTCAGAGCCCGGATCCCGCCTGGAGCCGCGCTCGGTTGGGCAGCGTGTGAGGGAGCCATGGCGGATCTGAGCGCCCTCAGAGCGCCGGCAGCCGCGGGCCGATAGCACCCCCGGCTGGGAAGGGCCTGAGGGAGGCCAGGCCGGGCGTGGAGAGAGCTCCGAATCCTCTGAGCGGAATTCTTTACGTTTGTCCTCCTGCTTTCCTTCTTTTTTTGCCGTTCCCTGCCAGCAGTGACTATACAGAGAGCAGTGCCTGGCACAGTGCCTGGCACAGAGCTCGGCTGAGGCCAGCATGGATCGATGCTTTATCTCCTGTCTCTAAGGATACCGTCAGAGCTCACCTCATTCCTTCATGAATCCATTTGGAGACGCTTTTCCAGCCTCAGTGTGAAAACATCTCACAGCTGCCCGGTTTTCCATAAAACCCTTGCTCATGTCCAATCCAGGCCTTGCTCCCAGGCACCATCACAAGTCTCCTGTAGCTCCAGGCAGTCTAGTGATGACAGGGTGTGCACCAAAACTCTGATTACAGCTGCCTTAGGAAGCCTAACTCCCATTCTGCAACAGGTTTTGCTGGAATTTGGGGTGATGTGTTGGTTCAAAAACTCAGCTGTCAATACACTGAGCTTCAYGTCAGTGCTGCAGATGAACAGAAACCACGGCATGGCTATGAAGGGCTCCTGTCCATAACCCGTATCCTAGAACCTTGTTCCCTTTAAAACTCAGTGGCGAATCTCCTAYAGATTTAAGTAAACTACAGCAGTTCTACAAACTGCGCTGATCTGTGGTGCATTTGTGTTTATGGCTCTTACAATTCCACATATGCTTGGTGGAGTCACTCCCTTCAGGGGCATAACAAAATAGGCTGTTCACAAAAGTAGGACAAAGAGGGTTGGGAGCCCAGGCAAAAGGCCTCTCTAAACGATTTTGTGTAGTCACAGAGGCAAGAGTGCAGGCACTGTGAAGGGACAACAGCAGCACCAGTGACAGCAGCCAGCCCTTCATTGCCAACAAAATCAGACCTTTGACTCCCAAGCCAAAGGAAAACTCTTACTCATAGGTAAACAGAAAGTTAATAAAAGTCCCTCAAATCAAACTCCAGTGAGGTGGAACAGAATTAAAAAAAAAAAAAAAAAAAAAAAAAAAAAAGCAACTAGAGTAATAGCTTTATTATTGAACTTCTAATTATAACTGCACTGAAAGGCCTATACGTAATTCAGATCTATGGTGCAATTGCTTCCACAATGCAAACTGAGACAGGAACCTCAATAAATCTCATCTTTTTCAAAGTTTAGGTAAAAGACCCATCAAAAAGATGAAGCAGAAAAATACTGTTCCTGCCTATTCTGGCATGGACCTCTGCCAAGTAGATATTTCTTCCATAGGCATGTGTTTGACAGAATCGTAGGCGTAGGTGTCTTTCATACCTGAAAAATATTAACAAAAAGTAGTGATTTGGCTGTACTGATTTAGGAGTTTGAGAACTAAGATGCTTTTATACATACACAATACACTCTTAYATAAACATACATAGAATCATAAACCACCCYGAGTTGRAAGGGACCCACAAGAACCAGAAGTCAACTCTTGGCCCAGCACAGGATGAGCTCAAGAATCCCCATTGTCCGAAGAGTGTTGTCCTGAGAGCATTGTCCAAAGGCTCCTTGAACTCTGCCAGCCTTGGTGCTGTGGCCACTTCCTTGGGGAGCTTCTCTGGTGATCCAGTAACTCCCTGGACTGCCCTGTCCCTGTCGTGTTCTACCACATCCCAAAGAATTCAGGACACCTCACCCMCCTTGGCAGGAGCAGTGAGTGGCTGAGGTCACTGCCCTGCATTTGTACCCTCCTGCTAATAGATCGAACTTTAACACAACAAAAGATCAATCTCAGGCATTGCTGGCACCACACAGTGACACGGGGGGCTCCTCGTGGTGTAGCCACACCCCCTAAAACCAAAAGTGTGTGGACAGGTGAAAAAAACCCATCCTTTGCATCTAAACAGTTCAGAGTGAATAATTTTCAAATCCATTGATAAGCATCACTGAAAAACAGGCTGAATCTCATGAGCCCAGGAAAAGAAACAAGGTAGAAATTTTCTTTGTTAAGAAAACTGATGGTGGCATTAATCATTTTATTAAAATGGATGGCATTTAAGAGAGGCTGTGTCTTTGCAAAGTAATTTTACAGCTATGTCTGTCAGTTTCCTGAATTTTATTGAATATTTTTATACAGATGGTTTGCATTTGGCTTTTAGTTTTAATGTTTTCTGTTCATTAAATCACAAAACTAATAAAAACTAAAYGATTGAGATTCCTCCAGCAGCACAGGAACGTTCCTAATGCACAGTGTTATAATTTAATAAGCATCTCAATTGACTATTAAAATCCACATTATGATCAGAACTGTAATTCCAAAGATGAGKTCTTCTGAAAGCCTAATTTACTRCGGTGGGAAGTGGCAGCTGCTCCARCTCAGCAAAATTAGCTTTTTTAACTGAGATGCCAGAGAAAACAGATGTTGATGAGACAATAACAACAAAATCCACCATCAACACGCAAGTTCATTTCTCATCACCAGAAGAGTCAAGAAGGGCTTCTATGGGTACATGAGCAGGGAAAAGGAGGGAAAGGGAGATGTGGATTCAACAGAGAACAAAATAAAGAGTTGTAGTCACAAAGGTCCTGGAAAAGGTCAAAGGTCTTGATGACTTCTCTGCCTTGGGCTTTGCTTTAGYTCCTGACCTCTGCTGAATTCCAAGCTTTGGGCAGCCCCTATCCTCCTGTGGAGGAGCTACTGCCAGGCTTCTCTCCAGCTGTCCCAGACTTCTGAGCTGTGGGTGCCCACCCACTCCTTATAGACACAGATCCCTTTGGAAGTTCCAGAGACAGCTGGATCCACCAGTGCTCTGAGCACCGAGCATAAAAAATCCCAATAGTCTCTCCTTTGCGGTTGGCTCTTGCTGTGCCAGCCAACCTCAACAGCCAGTGAGCTGCTAAGAAAGACTCCATCATGGACATATTGTTCTTACTGATGTCCACAGCTCCCAAAAGGGATCCCTTTCTACCTCATGACCACYCAGCTGGGAAAAACACCTATAAAAGTGTTGAACAAGAGCAGATTTTATTACCTTTCCCCTTTTCAAGCACCAGTCATGGGGGTTGCAGTCACATCTTGTGGTCAGAATGCAGATGTGAACTCAGGTGATTTTTCCCAACTGTTCACCCTACTTTAAGTTTAAAATCAGTGGAACACTCAATATCAGCCAGCATGCCCACCCACTCCTCCACAGTCACTCAGGTTTGCTGCCCTCTCACTGCAGCAGTCACATTAATTTTCATTAGCTCCTAGTTAGAAAAGGTTCAGTCCCGAAATTAGAGCAAAACATTAAATCAAAATTATATCTAACAAAAAGGGTAAAACTATCCTGGCTTTATATACTGCTGCAGATTTTGTGTTATTTTTCCCTGATACAGGAGGGAAAGCAAAACGTTGAGTAAAACAACATGCTAAAGAGAAGTTATCAATGTTACAAACTTTCCAAGMATATATGCTACTTAYCAAATTTTTATAAGTAGACTTATCAAATGATTAGGCTAATGATTATTGCAAATGTAAAATTCTTTCTTTTCAAAGGAATATTTTTTTTCTCCACTCTTTCCATAAGTTGGGAGTTTTAGAAGCAGGGACACTAGTTGGTGCTCRCAGAGGTTCCTGTATATGCAAACAAAGTACACGATGTTTGTATAAATGACTGGGCATGGCTATTAAAACAATTGTTCACTGTTGCTTTCTCGCAGCTTTTTGACACCAGCATTTCAAAAACCTCTTCATTTAAGAGGAATATCTAAGCGTCTTGCTTAAAGGTGAAGGAGTTGAGACTTGCCAGTCCCTTGCAATATATCCTCCAAAAGCTCACGGTGATATACAATCTCTGATTTAGCAAAACAAATCATGAAACTTCGTAACAAAGACGATGCTCACAGAGGACTTCCCAACTCATTAGCCACTCAGCGGAGCACYAGGAAGCGCTTTGGGATGTAAAGTGCAGCCATCAGGAACCATCAGGAGAGGCTTTGAAGCAGTTCACCCGAAGGGGTTTTCCTCGTAGTTGCCTCCAGCGGCCGCGACAGGAAAACTTCCTCCCAAAGTCCAAGATAAGCAGCCTCCTCCGGACACCTTTCCTTGGAGATGAACCTTCTACCTTTCAAGGCACGTCTAGGGAAGGACAAGTRTTGGTTTCACACCTGGTTGATGAATCCATTATCATAACAAGTGAAAAAACCCACCAGCATCAACCAACTGGGACCACCTTCTGCCGGAGGGGAACTGACATATCCAGTGCCAGTTTCAAATACAACAGATCTTTGTATCAAACACTTGCATGCAGAAGTATTCATCTGTTCTGCACCCATTTGATCTACTTAGGGTTTCTGAAAACTACAATAACCTATGTAGTGACAGTCTTCCCAACAATCACAGAGAAAATGAACAGAATAAACATCACAAAACAGCAGAGGAAAAAAAAATCAGTATTTTTTTGTTTCAAAAACAACTGGATTTTGATACTTTATTTTCAGACCTGCCATGAAAAGCCTAACAATTTTTTTTTTCCTCATAGCAAAGTCAAAAACTTGATTACTGCTTTGAGGTTTTGTGGTGAACCCGCAACTCTCAGATGTCTTTTCCAGGAAAAGGAACGTGAGGGTCTGTGTGGCTTAAGCTACTCACAAGGATGAGTTAAAAAATCTAGCTTTGCAAAAGGTTATCTGTTGAGAACCCTACCAAGTGGAAAAAAGATGAGCCAARTTTTGCCAGAGATACCATTAGGAAGAAGACTGGAAATTTAAACCTTGCATGATGCACAAGATTGGAGATGACCCAGTGACTCATTTTTCATAGATAGAAASTTTTGTAATTTTTGCTAAAGATTATCCAAATCTTCTTCTTGCTGATCTGARTATCAAGGAGCGAATTCCAGAACTGTGGAGAAGCTTCACTAGAGCTGGTTCAGTGCAGTTCAGGTTGGCAGGGAGTGTCTAGACAGAACWGGGTCAGTGGTGAGGCTGCTGCCAGGGGCAGCTCCCAGTGCTGGCAGGGAAAAGAGGGGCTCCAGTCTCGTCCCAGGAAGCCTCATCTTGCTGACAGCAGGCACAGGAGCACTTGCAGGGGAAACAATTCAACATGTTGCATACTTGGTGCTGGTAAGTAAAATAAACAGAATCAAGTGGGTGATACACTTGGAGATAACCTACTTGCACCCAGTTTTACTGCAGGTTACCACTGGACATCAGAGC